AGATAGAATTTCAAGATTCATTTCCCAGAGTCCCTGGGTGAGATTTCAGTTACCCATGGTTTAAGTGGATTGATAATACACCAGCTTGCTGGATCCCTTCCCCATCTTACATTCCTTCCCATCGAAGGGTCTCTTGGGATACCTCCCAGGTCTTTGAATACACTTGAATCCTTGACCTACTTCTTGAACAATCCAAACCAAGACATACATTCATTCTTCACTTTCCTGACCCTCTTCTTCGTGGGGAAAAAAGAAGAAGAATATTCTGCCTCTTGACAGGCATCCTAATTAACCTAACATGATCTTTAAACTTCATGCTTGGCAATTCCTAACACACTCTCATGATTTCCAAGCAGGGTTTAACAATGATGGGGGCAGGGGTGGAAGCTGGAAATACAACTACTCCCTTAAGATCTTCCAACTTGTGGATGATTATCCAAAATGCTCCACTGTTGGGACAGACCGTGTGGCCTCCTGACAGGTGCAGCAGGTCTGAACGTCCCTACAGGGAAGGCTATGGTGCTTGTGGGGCAAGAACACCATTGTGCTAGTTATGTTTCTGTTGCTGTGACAAAATCACATGACAAAAGCAACTCAAGGGAGAAAGGGTTTAACTCACAGAGGCAGCTTACAGTCCATCGCCACCATGAAGTCACAGCAGCAGCTTACATCACCTCTATGACAGGGAAGTCACAGCAGCAGGGACTTGAGGGAGCTGGTCACATTGCATCTGTAGTCAAAAAGCAGAGAGGAATGAATGAATGTATGTGCTCAGCTCCATTTCTCCTTTTTATACATTCCAGAACCTAAGCAGAGGGAATGGTTGCACCCACAAAGGGCAGGTCTTCCCACATCAATCAACGTGATTGAGATGATCCTTAGATTCTTAGAAGCTAACCTTAATTTAGATAACCAACAAGCAGTATGCCCAGAGGATTATCTCGTGGGTGATTCTGGATCCTGTCAAGTTGGCAGTTGAGATTAACCAGCACAGCCCTGGTGTACCATGCCTGCACAGGACATCTGAAAAATAATCCAGGTCTGGAGAAATTGTTGCCTTGTATCTGAGAGCAGGGGAGCTTCTTGTCCACCAAGGAGGACCTCCCTGAAATCAGGGACGTGCTTCTGGCCAATAAGGTAGCAACTGTTATCCACACTGGTGTCATTGCCCCATGTGAGGTCATTGTGCCAGCCCAAAACATTGGTGTGGAGCCCCAGAAGACCTCCTTCCTCCAGTCTTTAGGCCTCACCACTAACGTCTCCACAGGCACCATTGAAATTCTGAGTGATGTTCAACTGATAGAGACAAAGTGGGAACCAGTGAAGCTAAGCTGGTGAATATCCCTTCTCCTCTGAGCTGATCATCCAGCAAGGTAGATCTGTGCCAATGGCAATGTCCACAACCGGGAAGTGCTTGCCATCACAGAGGCAACTGGATTCTTACTTCCTGGCGGCTGCCCAGGATGCTGAGAGTGTTTGCACATTGGCCGCCTGACTACTGTCTGGTGTCACATTCTGTCAGTGGACACCAGAGGGCTCTGGGAAGACTGAGTACATCGTCCAAGCTGGTGAGAAAGTCAAAGCCTTCTTCGCTGGCCCATCTGCATTGGTGACTGCTGTCCCGTAACCTCGCTGCTACGGCTGATGCTCTTACTGCATCTGCTCTGCAACCCCAAAATAACGCTGAAGCCAGGGAAGCATCGGAGGAATCAGACAGGGACAGAGGATCTGGTTTCTTTGACCGACCACCAAAAAGCAACCAGCTCCGCCAGCTTTCTGTGAGAAACATAGAGACCTGCACGCGTGTGGAGTCTGAGCATCCCCTAATAGGCGAGACCCTGACTCCCAGAGCTCTCCAGAGATGGATGTCTGTCTCCTGGGTGATTGCCGGCCAGCACTGGGAGCCAGCCTGGATCTGAGATGGGCTCTACTGAGTGTCTATAATCTCTGCACCCTGAGTGCAAAAATAATTGGCAGACACCTTTCCCGGCCATTCATTCTTTATGGCCAGCAGAGCCCTTAGGGGCAATGGCTGATGGTTTGCCGTTACGGCCAGCCTGGCCCTGAATTCAGAGCAGGGAGCTTGGCTCTCCCCTAACCTTCTTTATACACTTCTTCTCCTGGTGCCCTCCCAGAGCCCCAGAGGGGCCAGAAAAAGCTGCTTGTGCAGAGTGGAAGAGGCAAGAAATGGTCTTCTGTGCAGAGAAGCTAAGGTGTAGAGGCCATGGGGTTAAACACTCACAGAAGAGAGTGGACTCGCGCTTCTCTTAGAAAGGATTTCTCAGCACACGTACTCTTTAACCGCAGTCTCCATCAATGCCTGCACCACCTTACATGGTGAGTCTTAGTATTAAGCCCAGAAGACAAATTGAGGATATGGTAAGTGGATTTGAACTCCAGAGCTATTCTCCTCCAATGCCATGGGCTTCTATCTGTAGCAGGCTTTTTTTCTTTGGGGCCACCAACCAGCCCCAAATCATGACACAGAGATTTTATTACTAGTTATGAATGCTTGGCCTTAGCTTATGCTCAATTCTGGCTAGCTTTTTTTTTCTTTAACTTAAATTAACCTATTTCTCTTCATCCATGTTTTGCCTTGGGACTTTTTACCTTTTCTTTCTGTATGTCCTACTTTTCCTGTTTCTTCTGTGTCTGGCTGGCGGCTGCCCGGATGGCTGGCCTCAGGCATCTCCCTCTCTTTCTCCCTCGGTCTCCTAGATTTCTCATCCTATTTATTCTCCCTGCCTGCTAGCCCCACCTATCCCTCCTCTGCCTAGCTAGTGGCTGTTTAGTTCTTTAGTAGACCAAACAGGTGCCTTAGTCAGGCAAGGTGAAACAAATGCAACACACCTTTACATCATTAAACAAATGCAGCATAAACAAAGGTAACACAACTTTACATAGAGTAATATTCCACAACACTAACAAAGGTAACAAATCTTTACATGGTTAAAATAGTATTTCACAGTTATATCCCTTCAGTAAATGTTTCCTATTACATGCATACTGGCACCAGAAGAAAATAAAAAGCAAGCGACATTTCCTCCCCACCACACCCCACCAAAGAGAGAAACAAAATTTCCCCCAGTCCATCCATTCCAGCTAAACCATCATCAGTACATGCTTTCAGGACATTTACTCATCACCTGCCAGTGTGTGGTTTTTCATGGGGAGGCATGAACAAGGGTCTATTCACCCAAACAGAGCGCCAAAGGCCAACCAAAGAGACTAGTCCACCCAAATCTAGCTTTACTTAAAACAAGCATAGGTGAAGGGTTACTTGCAGGAATGTGTGTGATTCAATGGCGACTCCGCTACCAAAACGAAAAAGCCCGCCCCAGGATGGGCAACAATTCAAGAAAGTTTCATCCCTGGAGCTCCCTGCCCGACTTGCAGTTTCCTGTGACCAGCCATCGTCCACTGCTTTTGTAACCTTGGGAGAGGGCAGTGGAAGTGAGTGCTGACAGTGTCAGAATGCTGACAGCTGCTTCCTGTCCTAGTTAGCTTTAACTGTCGATTTGACGCAGCCTAGAGTCATCTGAGAAGGGAGTCTCAGTTGAGGGATTGCCCCGCTCGGATTGGCCTGTGGAGGGTTGTCTTGATGGTTCATTGATGTAGAAAGGCCCTGCCCACTGTGGGAAGCACCATTCCCTAGGCAGGTGGTCCTGGAAGAAGCTAGCCAGGCATGAGCCTGTAAGCCAGCTAGCATGCAGCATCCTTCAAGGTTTCTGCTGTCTTAGGGTTCCCTATTACTGTGAAGAGACTCCATGACCATAGCAATTTTTATAAAGGAAAACATTTCATTGGAGTGGCTCGCTTACAGTTCAGAGGTTCAGTCCATTATCATCGTGATGGGAAGCAAGGCAGCATGCACGCAGACATGGTGCTGGGGAAGGAGCTGAGAGTTCTACATCTTCATCCGCAGGCAACAGGAAATGGTCTGACTCACTGGACTTGGCTTGACTATATATGTAACCTCAAAGCCCGCCTCTACAGTGACACACTTCCTCCAAAAACACCAACCTACTCCAACACGGCCACACCTCCTAATAGTGCCACTCCCTTTGGGGGCCATTTTCTCTCACACCACCACACCGGCTGTACTTCCTTGACTGTGTAGTGGGTTCCTCAATCAGAAATAACGTTGTATGGGAAGGCAAGCAAGCCTGCTTTGAGTTTCTACCCTGATGTCCCTCAGCGATGGAGTGCAATCCACAAGGTGAAATTAACCCTTTCCTCTTCTAAGTCACTTGGTTGGAGTGTTCTCATTTCTCCTGCACCTTTGTGCTCTTCCCTGGATACAAGTCCACCTAAGACTTTCTCCTTCAGCATCTCTGTCAACCCGCTACCCCTGAACCTGAACAATTTTCCTGAGCCTACCACCCACAAGAACCTACTTCTAACCCTGCCACCTAATCATCTACAACTCTAAAATGAAGCTTCTGGGCCACAGCCGGCTACTCTGGTGACATCTTGATCCCTGTTTGGGCCACTGAACAACTGTTTGGCCAAGGGAAGAGTTTGAACAACCAGCCGCCATCTATGCTCGTTAGTGGCTCTGAGTAGTGGACAGTATAGCTCCAGCAGCAGCAGTCACACCCATATATGTGTAGGAGAGTTGAGGCCTGAGGGTCACATCAGAGATGTCATACATACGTGATAGATGCCAACGTGAAAAAAAAAATGGACTTGAAATCGGGTCAAAGGAGAAATAATTGGGAGGACAGTGGGCAACAAGAAAGGACATTTAAAAAGAGGGTCTGAGTGCTGAGTCCAAACATCTGGAAGATTTGTTTGTGGTAAACAGATGTAGTATTTTATTTGCACAGCTTTGGGCACACTAGGACCCACAGAGGTAACAATTGGAGACAGTGGTTTATTTATATAAAGAATAATTTAAAGACAGTGAAAGACGCCCAGAAATGACCTTTTAAGCAACGGCATGAAATCCTCAGAGGAATAAGAGATCGGACAACCAGATTTCAATTTCAGAACTTCAAAACTTTTCCGACTCTGTTTTATTCGAAACCCGCGTAAATTCTCTACTACTGCAATCCCACATGCAGCCACTTGGTGGCGACAAAGGCATATTTTCAGAGTCAGTCTTCGCTTCTAACTGGAATACAAAAACAAAACAAATGATTGATTCAGATAAATTGACATTCGTGATCAGACACCCAGAACGACCCAAAGGGTTTCATCACAAGCAATCTGATTTTTTGTTCGTTTTGTTTGTTTGTTTGGTTGGTTTTTTAGTTTGTTTGTTTTGAAACAGTCTTACTCTGTGTCCCAGCCGCCTGAAATTCACTGTGTAGTCCAGGCTAGTTTCAAACTCCTGGTGATCCTGACTCAGCCTCCTAAGAATTGTGATCATAGGCACGAGCCACCATACCCAGACTGGAATTTTTCTTGAGATTACTTTTTTTTTTAATTTTTCTATTAAAACACACACACAGAGGAGAGAGAGAGAGAGAGAGAGAGAGAGAGAGAGAGAGAGAGAGAGAGAGAGAGAGGCTAATGCAAAATATTCAAATCATAAGTAACCAAGTAACAGATGTCTGTGAGCAGAATTTACTTGTGTAGTCAGCACCTGGCAGATTCCACCGGGACCAGAACCCCAGAAGCCCTGCAGGCCTCTTCCGGCCACTCCCCCACCAGACCGAAGGTGCCTCCCTGCATCCAGCACCCTTACTCAGTTTTGCCGGTTTCTTGTCTGTGTGTTTGTGGAATAACACTGTGGGGGGAGGGGTGGCCCTGTTTCCTCTGCATCACAGTGGCTCGCTCAGTCTCACTGTTGTGTGGTGGTCCCTGGGGTGAATATTCCACAGTTCAATCCTCCACTCTACTGGGGGGTGGCATCCGCATGTTTTCCAGCTTGAAGGGTGTATTAGTCAGGGTTCTCTAGAATCACAGAACTTACAGAATAAATATATACAATACATATATATATTATATATATGGGGGATTCATACAGAATGAATATATAGATATATATAGGAATTTATTAAAATGGCTTACAGGCTGCATTCCAACTATGGCTAGTTATGAATGGAAAGTCCAAGAATCTAGTAGCTGCTGCTCTGTCCCACAAGGCTGGGTGTCTCAGCTGGTCTGCTGGGATCCAAAAGAAGGAATGGATGTGCTGACCAGGTGAGGGCAAGCAGGTGAAGAACAGACCCTTCCTTCTTCCATTGTCTTTCCATAGGCTTCCCCCAGAAGGTGTGGCCCAGACTAAAGGTGTGCCATCCAGCCTCAAGGTCTGGATTAAAGGAGTGTCCCTTCTAGCCTCAAGATCCGGATCAAAGGCGTGTTGTCTTCTTGCCTCAAGATCCGGATCACAAGTGTGCCCTCCATTTCTGGATTATAGTTCATTCCAGTCATAGTCAAGTCGACAATCAAGAATAGCCATCATAAGGGATTTGCCTATACTGCTGTTCTGCATTTCCAGCACTTTCCCTTGCAAGCTTGTGAACTCATCTCTGCAGGATGTGGAATGGCTCAGCCACGGAATGACCACTTCCAGACTTTGGTAGCAGAAGAGATTAGGTGCACTTTTGAACCCCAAGGCGACTGTTAAAAAATTTACACTTCGAGAAATGATGTCTGACTGCTCTATGGCTTCCTCACCGAACCTGAATTTTCTGTTCAGATGTGTTTTGGTGGAAGGGAGGAGAGAGGGCATTCCTGCAGATCTTTATCATTCCCTCCAGGGCATCCGAGCAGCGCAAACAGGTGATCACAAACAGAAGTTGGAAAATCTCCTCCCACCTGCATATCCCAATGAATCCGTGGACGAGTGAGACTCTCTTGCAGACTTCCATGCCCTGGGTTCTGAAAAGCCCAGAATGGCGTCCCACCTGCTGAGACATCACAGGGTGCCTCTGGCTCTTCTAGGTACTTCTCAGTACCTAGAAACATGACATCAGTGCACTGATGAAGCTGCGGTAAATGTGACAAGGGGTGTAAATGTGACAAGGAAAAAGAAAACAGAAGAGAATGCAGAGTTCAGAGGGCGTGGTTGGGAGAGGAGACAGAGTGCAGGGGGCGTGGTTGGGAGAGGAGACAGAGTGCAGGGGGCGTGGTTGGGAGAGGAGACAGAGTGCAGGGGGCGTGGTTGGGAGAGGGGACAGAGTGCAGGGGGCGTGGTTGGGAGAGGAGACAGAGTGCAGGGAGCATGGTTGGAAGAGGACACTGTCAGGGGAAGATGCATGGGTATAAAGAGGCTCCCCTGGTAACTTTGAGCAGAAAGCAGAAGCCAGGAAGCAAGCCAGAAGACAGAATGTTCCAGAAAGGGAGAGCTGTTAATGAAAAGGGGCTGGGGTGGGTGTATGTTGTCACATTCAAGAGAGAAGCTGGTGGAATAAGGGCAGGGAAGGCTGTGAGATTTGATGGAGCACAGCTGTATGTAGAACCTGTCCAACTGCTGTTAAAAAGTAGTCAAGGGCCAAAGCAGAGTGGTTGTCTAGCATGCTCAAAGCCCTGGGGGAGCTCCATGCCCAGAATTCATATGCAACACACACACACACACACACACACACACACACACACACACACACACACGGAGGGGGAGGGGGCGGGCATCTAACACCCGTACAAAAATGGTCATAAAAAGAGTTTGAGTTTTCAGAATTTTAAGTGGTCTACAAAAATGGTCTCAGGTATATATTAAAGCCATTTGTTTTGTTACTAAACAATACAGAATCAAAGACAGTAGCATACTCAGGCCAGGCACTCTCCTAACTTAGTGCAGTACACTCTCCTAGCATGTTCAAGGGAGGCGGCTTGTGGTTAGGAGGGCTTGCTGCTCTTCCAGAAGACCTGAGTGTGGTTTCCAGCACCCACAGTAGACTGTTCATAACTGCCTGTGACTTCAGCTCCAGAGAACATGATGCCCTCTTTTGGCCTCCATGGGCATCTACACACATGGCACACACATACACAGTGCGCAAGCACAATTAAAAGAGAGAGAAATCTTTAAAAAATAAAGTGGAACTTGGTGGTGCACACACCTTTATTCCCAGCAACTAGGAAGCAGAAGCAGGTGAATCTCTGTTTGAAGCTAGCCTGATCTACACAGCAAGTTTCAGACCAGCCAGGGCTGCATAGTGAAATCCTGACCCCAAAATTAACTAATTTAATTAAATAAATTTTTAAAGTTTTTCAGACCAGTCTTTGTAGCAACTACTCCAACACAATAACTATGCAATACTTTTACAACTTGAGAGAAGCCATAGACCCTATGTAAGTGAATGGATGTGTCTGCATGCCAATAAAACTTTATTTACAAAACAAGTAGCGGACCAGTTGTGGCTAAGGCTCTAGTTTGCCGGGATACATGCATAGTTGAATCCTCAATGGTGAGAATAGTTCACACAATCACCATTTGGTGAATGAATGAGCTGTGTTCTCTTTAACAGAGAGTATCCCAGAGCTGGGACAAGCATACTGTACTCCAGTCGACAAACTGGACCTCTTATTCGTCACCTAGATGTCTAGGTGTGAGGTTGCTAAATCAAAGCTTATGAACTTAGTAACACTAGTTCCTTGAAGTCCTTCCCGTTTCTACCATCTGTGCTACGCATTCTTGAGAGCTGGGTTCTTCTTCTGCCTCCTTAGCCACCACCCCCTACTTGTTTTTCCTGAATTCGACTCAGTTTCAGAGTTCCCATGTTAAGCAAAATGTTCCCTCCCTTAAAGATGTCTACATCCTAATCCCTGGAACGTGCAGAAGTCACCCTATGTAGCAAAGGGAACTTTGCCTTTACCTTAGGCAACTTCAGGTGGGGAGTTAGTCTTGATTTACGTCCATGAGCCCGATGTCATCACCAGGGTCCACACAGAGAGAACTGGCTCAGAGAGGGACAAGTGGGAAGCTGGGGTTGGAGTCCAAGTGACATGTGTAATAGATTCCATCAAGTCAATAGCTTTGAAAACAGCAGGAGCCACACGCCAGAGAAGGCAAATAGCCTCTGGACACTGGAGAAGGCGAAAGGGATAGATTCTCCCCCTGGAGCCTCCAGAAGACAAGGTCACAATGTCGCCCTTGTTTTTGCCCTGGAAATCAGAGCAGACTTCTGATCTCCAGACCTGAAGATAACAGATTTGGAATGCTTTAAGCCACTGAATTGCTGGTACTTTGCTACAGCACCCTTAAGATGTGTACAGAGGAGTTGATGGCTGAGGGTAGAGCTTGGTGGAAGAGCACTTGCCTCGGATTCACAAAGCCCTGGGTTCAGTCCCCAGCAGCACACAAATTGTACAGACAGGAATCGAACTCTCAGAACATGATGCTTGGATCTGCTCTGCAGTTCATCCTCTTCGGAGTTTTCATCCTCCTTATAACAACTCCCGCAGACTTGTCTATCAGGTCCCCCATACTTTCCCATGTAGCACTGACAGAGCTTGTTAACAAGTTCATATTGGAAGCATTTTTCCAGGTATGGGCTTGGGTGCTGTAGGTCCAGATTTGTGTTTAGTATGACAAAAATGTATGTTTACACTGTAACCATTAAATGCCCTCAGCATAGCTAGATAATATCAAATCTTTAACTAGTTCAGCATACGTCTGCTCTTAGGCAAGGCAACCTCACTGTCCAGTGACATCTTATTGAAAACTGCGGTTAATCCTTAACCACACAAACACAAGCAAAGCAGGTCGGGTCCTCCGTCAGAACACTGGTTCTGTACAGGGGGCAATTCTGTCCCTCGGCGGCGGCGGCGGCGGTGGCGGCGGCATCTGTCACTATCTGAAGGTTTGAGACTTTTTATTTTTTCAGTCACACTGGAGATGGAAGGAAGCTAATGGCAGCGAGTGGGCAGAGCTCAGGCAGCCTGCTGAATGTCACACAGCACAAAGGACAGCCCACGACAAAAAATGATCAGTCCCAAACGCCAGCAGTGTGGAGTCTGAGGAACCCAGCTCTAAATGGATCTTGTACAGATGTTTTGAACTTTTTATTTTACTTAGGGATGTTTGTTTGGTTGAGAAAGGATCTCAGTATGTAGCCCTGGGTGACCTGGAACTCACCAAGCTGCCCTCGAACTCACAGAGATGGCCCTACCTGTGCCACCTGAGTGCTGGGGCATATTTGGAGCTTTTTTTTTTTTTTTTTTTTAACAGACTTAATTCACTTTCTTTTTCTTGTATAAAAACCCTTATATGGTGGCCACAGGTGGAGCCTAGGTCCTCTGAACTCTGGTGTGGGTTTTCACAAGATGGTCAGTGAATTCCTGATAAGGAGACTTGGTGAACACAGTCTCTTTCCAGAGGTCAGGGGTCAGGCAGCTGTAGGTCTTAGAGATAACATCAAAGGTGGCCTTGGCAAAGCTGCCCAGGGTGGCAGTGCAGCCCCTGGCTGATGTGTAGCAGTCATCAATGCCAGCCATCACCAGTAGCTTCTTGGGCACAGGAGCAGAGACGATTTTTAATAAATATTTATTTTTATCTAAAAGCGTGTGTGTGTGTGTGTGTGTGTGTGTGTGTGTGTGTGTGTGTGTAGGTATGTGCTTGTGTGTGCAGAGGCCCACAGGAGCTAGAGGCATTGGATCCCGCTGGAGCTAGAGTTACAGGCAATTGTGAGCCGTTTGCCTTTTGTTCTAGGAAATGAACTTAGTATGCCCTCCTCACCATTGACCCATATCCCAGTACATTGCTAAGTAGACTGATCCTCTTGCCAGGAAGCCTGATCCTGCTGGCATTACAGGTGTGCACCCCCATACCTGGCTCACATGTCTTTAAACAAGTGTTTGGACTGGCTTGGCAATGCTTACCCCTGTCTCCCAGTCAGACAACCCTCAGAAGCCTACCTGACTAGTCATTCTTCCTAACTCTGTCACAGACACCTTCTGGATGGTGTGCCCAGAGCAGCCAGTTACATTCACTCCATTCCACACAATACTCTTGGGTAGCTTCGTTGGTTGGGATTCCACATGGGAACAGAATCAATGGGTGAGCTTGGGAGCTGGGGGGTACACCTGTAGGGATTGGTTCTCATCAGTATGGAGGCTCTGATGTTCCATACTAGACTGTCCAAAAGCTGCAGAAACAGCAAACACAGTAAAGAGTTTCCATCCAACTCTGATTTTATTTGGCATTTTGGTTTTGTGTATGTGTGCACAAGTGTACATATGAGAGCACTTGTGAACATGTGCATCAAGTGTGGGGGCCGAGGGTCACTTTAGGTGTCATTCTTCTGGAGGGGATCGAACACGGGTCCTCAAGCTCCTGCGGCTAGCACTTTCCCAACTGCCCCCTCCCTTCCTGGTTGTTAAGACAATGTCTCACTGTAACCAGCGCTGATCTAGAACCCACAGCAATCCTCCCAGCTCAGCTCCTTTTCCCTCCCCATAAGCCACTAAACGGGAAATAATAAATCCTCATGTCGCACACTTGCCCTCACCTTTACACTGTTCCTCCAAAGTACCAAGTTAAGTCACAGCAAGCCCCCACAGTGCTGCTCATCTAACGAGGTGCTGTAGAAAAGTATCCCGCGTTTGCTCTTATATTCAGAAACGAGGTGTGTGTGTGGGGGGGGGTCATGAATGTAGAAAGGGCACTATGTGGACGGAACAAAGGATGGTAATAGGATGAACTGACAAATACTTCTTTCCTCACATGGAATCCAGATATTCATATCTATGTCCGTGTGTGTATGTATATAGATATAGATATAGATATATTCGCTGTTACAAATAGTAAATTTAAATGTGTTATCACATTTAATTATTTATTGGGAACATGATACACATGTGGAGGTCACAGGATAGCTTGAGTTGGTTTTTTTCCTTCTACAGTATGGTCTCTAGAATCAAACTCGGGTCCTCAAGCTTGGCACCATGCACTTTTAGCTGCTTCGGTCATCTCACCAGCCCACAAATAATAAGTTCTAACACATTTTTAGAAAGTGACCATTTGACCTGGCGGTGGTGGCTCAGCCTTTAATCCCATCACTTGGGAGGTAGAGGCAAGCGAATCTCTGTGTGTTAAGGCCAGCCTGGTCTATAGAGCGAGTTCCAGGACAGGCAGAACTAGACAGAGAAACTGTTTCGAAAAACCAAATAATAATGATAATGATGATGATAAAAGAAATTGACAATTTGATAACGAGAAAAGTTATTTGAATTCACTGTAACTACGTTGCATGAATATTTTCTTTTTAAAAACTGTCTACCCATATTTTTTATATATATAATTTTTTTTAAGATTTCTTTATTTATGTATACAGTGTTCTAGCTGCATGCATGCCTGCACGCCATAAGATGGCACCAGATCTCATTATAAATGGTTGTGAGCCACCATGTGGTTGCTGGGAGTTGAACTCAGGACCTCTGGAAGAACAGGCAGTGTTCTTAACCTCTGAGCCATCTCTCCAGCCCTTATTTTATTTTTTTATTTCTAATGTTATTTAAGAACCACTCCCCACTAGATACTAGTATTAACTCACCCCCCATTCGCTACAATCAACGTTGCCTGTCCCTAGAGGGGACGCTCCTTCCCACCTTAGCTGAAAAGACTGGGGATGCCCTGCTTCGAGAGCAGGTAGTAACTCAGTGACAGTCTGTTCTCCCAGCTTCCATCACACCATGCCATGCTTTCAGTTTCCTAACCTCTCTAGTCACTCCTTTGCTGCACTTTAGTAAATTTCTGAGTATCCCCAAGGCATGCTCCTCGATAGTTAAATTTACTCCGGAACGGGGGTGTTTTATCTAGCTCTACAGCGTTATAAACTCCTAAGTGCGTATTTCTGCCACATAAATACCGTGCCTTCCGAGGCAACCTGGTTAAGGATAGTGTGCGTAGGGAAGGGGCTCGGTGTTCTTGGGGGACCGCCAGGTCGGACTCAACCCTGAGGGCACCCGCCTGTTGGTGCGCGGGGCCCTGCCACGCTCCCTTTGTGAGCAGCCGCGGTAGGCGCGGGATTCAGAGCTGTCAGCGTTCGGAGCAGGATGAAGGATGGCACCGAGACCCGCCGCCACACAGCACCTGCCTCGCTGGTCACGACGATCTCCCCGGCCGGATCTCCCGCGGCTGAAAAACTAAGGAACTGACCGAGTCCAAGAGCACGTTCCCACCGAAACCTGTGCGAGCCAACCGCTGAAGGGAAAGCGCAACCTCTTTTTTTAGGAAACCAATCAGAGGCGAAAATGGCCTAGACGGACGGCCCTGGGAACCAATGAGAAACAGAGACCGCTCTCCGCGTGCTTGGGCACGCGAGCAGTTTCTTCAAAGGCACCAGTCAAAGGCCCCGGCCTCGGCTCTGCACGGAGATGGGTACCGAGGGCCAGGGGAACCTTACGGAAGCGAGGTCGGCTGGCACCAAGCCCCCGCACGCGCCGCAGCAGTGCCAATCTCCCGGGAGCCGGCCGCGGCGCGGGAGGGGGACGTGCTGCGCGCCGACGTCACGCGCCGCGCCCCGCCCCCGGACGCTTATAGCGTAGGCCGGCGCGCGCGCGCACCATTGTGTGGCTGACTCGGCCGCCGCTGCGGTGTGAGGCGCGTGTTCGGGCCTTCGCCGTCCCCGCACCCGCACCGCAGCCCTGCCCCGCGGCCCGCCGCACCTCAGCTAGCCTCCGGGAGCCCACCCGCCACGGCCATGCCGCGCGTCTACATAGGACGCCTGAGCTACAACGTCCGCGAGAAGGACATCCAGCGCTTTTTCAGCGGCTACGGCCGCCTCCTCGAAATCGACCTCAAAAATGGGTGAGTCGGGTCTGGGGGTCCGCGCCCCGTGGCGGAGGGAGCCCCCAAGGACCGAGTCGACCAAGGCCGCGGCGCCGCGTGGCAGGGCCTCCAAAATGGCGGCGGCGCCTCGAGCGCGCGCGCGCGCGGGGGGGGGGAGGACGCGGGAGCGCGCAGCGCCGGCTAACGACACGCCCGCCGGTGCGCGGCCCGCGCTCCGCCCCTCCTCAGGTACGGTTTCGTGGAGTTCGAGGACTCCCGCGACGCCGACGACGCCGTTTACGAGCTGAACAGCAAGGAACTGTGCGGCGAGCGCGTGATCGTAGAGCACGCCCGGGGCCCGCGCCGCGACCGCGATGGCTACAGCTACGGAAGCCGCAGTGAGTTCTACCCCCGCGCGCTCCGCGTCCTGGGTACCGGGAGCGGGCGGCGGGTGCAGACGCGGGGGGCGGGTGCAGGGTGGGACCTCCCCAACCCGGGCAGGCGCGGAGGCAGGGGGTCGTTGGCCCTGGGTCTTCCCGGGCCCCTCTGCCTCCACGCATGCTCGGGTAGCCATGGGACACCGGAGCGCGGGGATCGGGTCGGGTGGCCGGTTGGCTAAGTTTGGAAGGGGTGGCTTCAGTTGGCCCTCGTTGGCACTGACGTGGGTTCTGCCCGCGTTGAAAGCGAGGGTTGCTTGTATTTGTAGTATTCCCCCTTGCTTATCTGTCAGTGCTTTAGCTAGCATTGAGGAAGTTTCCAGGAAAGCTGGGGTGGAGGTGGGGCAGGGGGGCGGGGAAAGGGGCGGAGCCTGAAGCCTAAGTCTTAGGAGATGGGAGATTTGGCGAGGGCCAAAGAAAATGCCATTTTAAACTAATGTGGTAGAACACCACAAAGTAAATGTAAATGAGCTTTATGCTGTATTTGAATTAGTTGGGGCATGTTACTGGGAGGGGGTTGGGGGGATTTTGGTTATGTGAAATGTTTATTGTTGAAATTGTTGCATGTTGAATTCAAACTTTTTAACAAGTCCTTGATGTTTCAATTTAAAAGTGACCAATGGGGCTGAGGCTGTGTCCACTGAGGCTAAGATGACTGCCTTTCCTGATTGGCCTTGGCTTTTCCATACATTGTGTGACCCTTGCCCTATGACCCTTTGGCTGACCTTACCGGAAGCCATGACGACAGCAGCCTTTTGCCATTAGACGCAGGGTGATGGTGAGGATTCCAAGGGTTAGACAAAACTGGTTAATCTGAACTAGGTGACTGTTACCTTGCGTGTTTTGTGGCCAAACCACCACCAAAAACCTCACACTGTGATGTAAGTACTTAGTGTAACTAGTAAACATTTTTGTAAAATGTAGAAATGCATGTAATCAGTTAAGTTTTATATTTTACAATGTTCTGTAAAATAAAACTTAGCGAGGTAAATTGAATAAAGGAGCAGTCACTCTCTAACAGATTGTAGGAGAGGGTTAGTTGGATTTAGTCTATTTGACTTGCCCTTAATTTAATTTGTGGCAAATCACAAATGTATCGAGGGTTTAGCAGTATAATAGCAAAGTCCTACTCCAGTAATAAACGTTGCTATGTTTGTACTAACTTTCAAAAACATGCGTACCTGTCATTGCAATGCATCTAATTACTCCCTCCGTGTGATAAAGGTGGTGGAGGTGGATACAGCAGTCGGAGAACTTCTGGCAGAGACAAATATGGACCACCTGTTCGTACAGAATACAGGCTTATTGTAGAAAATCTGTCTAGTCGCTGCAGTTGGCAGGACTTAAAGGTATGGCCTGGGTTGAAATGACAGTGGGAAGTCATTTCCTTAAGAGTTAGTGCTACATAGATGTGCTTTAGATTCCTGGGGCTTATCAGTCTTACTGTTTTAGGATTTCATGCGGCAAGCAGGAGAGGTGACTTATGCAGATGCTCACAAAGAACGCACAAATGAGGGTGTAATTGAATTTAGATCCTACTCCGACATGAAGCGTGCTTTGGATAAACTGGATGGCACAGAAATAAATGGCAGAAATATTAGGCTTATTGAAGATAAACCACGAACAAGCCATAGGCGCTCTTACTCTGGAAGTAGATCCAGGTAACATGAGACACTGGGGTGGCTTGTAGTTTTCAGTTGTTGCTTAATTGAACTTGCAGCTTTTCTTGGTTGTAGTAAGCAGATACTTCAGCCACAGCTGAGTAGTACAAATGCATTCTTAAAGAGATTAAAATGTCACTCTCTTGTGTGTAGATCACGGTCTAGAAGACGGTCACGGAGTAGGAGTCGCAGGAGCAGCCGCAGTAGATCTCGAAGTATCTCAAAAAGTCGCTCCCGGTAAATAATGTGGTGTTGGGTCTCTCTCTTTAATTTTACCTGTTGGTGGAGTACATGTGTTTTCTGACAAGATACTGAAAGAAATCTGGCTTTTCTTACACAGATCTAGGTCGCGGAGCAAAGGTCGATCCCGGTCCCGCTCAAAAGGCAGGAAATCCAGATCAAAGAGCAAATCTAAGCCCAAGTCTGATCGGGGTTCCCATTCACACTCAAGAAGCAGATCTAAGGATGAGTATGGGAAGTCCCGAAGTAGGTCACGTTCTCGGTCCCCCAAAGAAAATGGAAAAGGAGATATAAAGTCAAAATCCAGATCCCGAAGCCAGTCTCGATCCCATTCACCTCTGCCTGCTCCACCTTCAAAGGCTCGTTCCATGTCCCCTCCGCCAAAAAGAGCTTCCAGGTCCCGTTCTAGATCTCGTTCAAGGTCCAGATCAAGTTCCAGAGATTAACCCTGAACTCTATGTTCTTTGCACACTATAACGGAACACTTTCCTACTTGCTTAGGCAGTTACTCTTCCGAGTTTGTACTTGGCCTCTTCTTCAAGAGGATTTCCTGAAAAGGGAACACAGGAATTTAATTTGTGGCCAAATTTAATGAGAAACAGATGAGGTTCTAAAATGGTGGTATGACGCCCTCTCCCTTCTTTTTAGAATTAAGATAATTTTGATTTTATAGCCTTTGAGCCTAAAATAACTTTTGTAAAGATTAAGCTCATTTAGATTTTTTTTTTTTTAAATATTGCAGCAGAATCTGCTGCAGGGTTCTGTTTTGTTTGTTTATTTTTAAATTAACTGTTTGAAGCTTTGGATACTGCAGGCTTTAGAGGGAGAACCCAATTTTTCAATTATGTTGGCTTTTTATGAAGCTCATTAAATAAAAGTTTGCTACCAAGATGATTGCCTTATTGAATAGGTCACTACTAGGGCCCTTTAAGTGTTGATACCTGCCATTTCTGGAGACAGTGTAAATTCCACTGAAGTGTAAAACTAAGGCAAGCCTCAGACCAGCAATAAATTAATCAGTTTGGATAACCTTATTTTGTGCTGTTAATCAAATCTACCAAAGTTTTTTTTATCTGCCCCTTTAATAAGTTGAGTTAAAAGTAAAAGGGACTTTGTAGTTAGTGTCACAAGATTTTGTCTAATTAATAGGTTTTTAAATAAATGAAACTAAAGGATTACAATTTGAACTCAAGAAGTAGGTCCTAGTACTTGGGATCTTGTTATCCTGTGTTCTGGAAGTGGTCATCGTGATTAGTGTTAGTGTATATGGTTTGGTGGTCTTTAATGTTTGGAAAACAGAAGTAGCCTTTCTTTGATTAGAAATTTAGTTACCTTATTCAAAGTGGAAAAGCGCATATGCTGTGTTTCTGCTGAAAAGTGATTATATTTTAACAGGTGCTTAGCAGACTATTTGGTAAGATATTTGCTGGTTAAAATTCTTTCCAGCAATCAGTCCTCACCGTATTGGTGGGGCATTTGTGGTTGGTTTGAAAAAACAGTGACATGGATAAGCTAAAATGCTTTGTACTTTGTAAGTAAAGTATAATGAATACTGTGGAAACCAAGTTAAAATGAATAGTGCAAACTTGTAGGAATAACTGGAGTCACAGTTTCCATGCATCCAAATGCCCAGTTAGTTGAGACTGCAATCCATAAGTGAATTACCTTACAACCCTTTTCATTGTTTGGACATGTTAAAGTCATTTCATCCTAAATACTTAACCTCAAGTCTTTAGTCAAGGTGTAGATGAATTGGCTAAGGTTTAATACCTTCCTCAGCTGTTGCTACATAACCTAGCAAAGGTTGGATTATAATAAAACATAGTGTTGTGGGGATGGTGTGTGGGACTAAATAATCAGAAGACATGGCAATAAAATGAGGCTGAGTGGAAAAAATGGATATTCAAGGACCTAGATAGGTGTCAGTAGCTGGGAATACTTGGCAACAGGGAAAGGAGAATGTTTTCAAGAAATGTCTTTCTGTTACAGAATCTTAGAGACTTAACTTTAGGATATAGTGTCAAATAAAGCTGCTGCTTCAGTCAGTCATCTTTCCTTTGATGCTTTGTTTAGATAAGTTTATAAGAAATAGGTTTATTTTTCCAGTGTACATTTCAGAAGTTAAAATTGTTTCTGGTTGTAGTTTACTATTTTGCCTGTTCAAAGACGGAAGTGATGGCTCTTTAAGAATTGGATTTGACCAAAGTTCTTTGTTTTCAGGGAAAAATATAATAAAAGCTTTCTGAGCCACAGCCTTTTAAAGAGGAAAGGCTATCAGTAAAATTTGACTCTTCTGACTGCACGCATCTTCAGCTGGGCTTGCCGTCTGTTAATGTAGTACATGATGGAGGCATTTGACTATTTCTAGCTGCCCCAATAAGTAATATAACGTATAGGTAAATGCTAACGCCCGTATAATTTTCCTAGTGGGGGCAAAGGCTGTTTTATTAAAACTCTAGGCCTATTTCATACCTGTAGACCCTAGTTATTAAATGCACTAAACAAACCACTGCATTTCAAGTGTTGGCCTTAGCAGAATTGACTGACTTAAAATGTTTAGTTCCTTACTGACTAGTGAATTCAGTTCCCTGCCAACCTAATGCGCAGAATCTAAGAGTCCCATCTTGCACACATTGGTTGATGCCCTGGGTGGAGTATCAGCAGCACCAACTGATAAAAGAGCACAAGAGAAGTGGGGAACATCTTGAGTCCAGTTGGACGTGATAGCGTTTCTTGATATGCCACAGTGCCTTTATGGCCAGTTTGAGTCCTGCCTACTTCAGTCTTTATGTTCCCACTCCTCCTGTGTTGACATTGCTTTCATCTTGGATATTCTTTTTTTCTACTTTGTTAACCTATTTTATGCATACTCAATAAAATGCTTACCAAGGGAAAGACTTGTTCTGAATTTATTGTGTTGTCCCTTGGCACAAAGTACTTGGCCAGTAGTTTTTTTTGAATTGTAGTTACCATTGGCTAGCCATTGATGTGTGTTCTTGTTTTAGCTCTAGAAAGCAGGGTTTGGGGACCGACAGTAGATGGTTTGTCTTGTGTTCCTAATAACTTGCTTCATTTTACTCTTGTCCATTTTTTCTTGTGGTTGATATTTTTCAACACAGTTTCTCAAATTAAGTTTAAAATACCTTGCAAATCCTTAACCTATGTCCTTAATCTTGGGCACTCTAGGCATTCCTTCAATACCATTGCTCTCCTATTGCTTAATCTTGTTCTTAAAAGCTTCACCTGTGGTTGATCTGATTTCAGACACATGGTGGGAACCTAGTGTGGAGCTTCATTTTCTTGTTTTTATAAGAATAATCTAGGGCTGTAAGTATAGTTCAGGATGAGCGTTTAATTTCAGTATGTGTAGTGCCCTGCATTCAGTACTCATTGTGCAAGTAGCTCTTACATATACACAGGGACTGATTGTAGTGTGGTACTCGCTCTTAATCTTAGCATGGTAGGCTCTAAGGCAGAAAGATTGCTCTGAATCTGAGGCCAGCCAGTGATAATTAGCAAGGTAGCTTTCAGGGGAGGGGCACTTAGAGTATAAAATAATTTTGTGCGTCCAGTTACTAAGGTAGGCACTACTTAAGTATCTTTTTATATGTTAGGCTGGTCTCTCAAACTGTAGCTAAGGATGACTTTGGACTTGTGATCTTCAGGCAGTATCAATGGCATGTACTATCATGCTTGTACATGTGCTTATCGCCTTTTTCTTGACACTATGCATTTAGGGCTGGCCTCCAACTCAACAATCCTACCACCTCAGACTCTTGAGTACTGGGATTATAGGCATGAGCCACCACACCACATCTGTCTTGTTTTTAACAGTTTGTTCACACCTTGAGTAATACGTAACTTGATTTTACACAATACGTGGCAGTGAGTTATAATGAATATTCTGTTGAATGTACAGCATACATTCCTCAAAATTGAAAATTTTATTTCGTGTAACATGAATTACAACACATATTCACAAGGCTACTTCAAGCTTATGTATTTTCAGTCCATGACTGTATCTTGAATAGGAAGTATATTTATAAATGCCTAACCACAGTAAATGTACCAGTTTGCTGAAAGGGTGGCTTAATACAGTTGTCTTCCAGATCCTAAATAAATAGCTTTTGTAGGTAGACCTGACTCTTAGTAATTTACAGGCTTCTATTGCGTTTAGTAAAGTGATTGACACTGGTTTTACCAGAAAGGAATTTCAATTCCAAAATAAAATGTAAACAAAAGGTAATGCAGCAAAATCCCCTATGATTCCTTGGAGAAAGTAGGACATGCTAGTATTATACTCCTTTGGAGATGCTTCTTGACTGCCTGAGTAATAGATCATACATATAGTAATATCCCAGGGCACTGATTCCAGTGCACTAGTCCTCAGCCAACAAAACCCCCAACCATTTTTAGGTTACTATATATAATAACCATTAGGCCATTATTTGGGAAATGACAATCTGCAAGAGGAAGTTTTGAAGGGTTAAGAGGATACCAGCACAGTTGGTAAATGTACCGAATCCATTTTGTTCATTCATGAATGGCCTTTGTGTACTAAGTATGTGTTGAATTCATGTTTTGAGACAGTGCTCTGACCTAGGTGGTCTCAAACTCACACAACAGTCTTGCCTCGGCCTGAGAGCTAGGATTACAGGTTGTTACTTTTATAGTGAATTTAAAACACAAGAATAGTGGGATGAGCTACCACCCACTTATATACCTATGCACTTCCAATTTTGAAGGTAACCCTAGGCATTTAATAATGGTAATAATATAGTACATAATTCTAGAGGGCATCTAAAATGTGGTGGCAAAAGCCTGTAATCCATCACAAGATGATTTTTGAGATCAGGGTGTACCTGGGCTAAATAGGTAAGATTGTCCCAAAAAGGAGGATGGGTTTCTAAATCCATTTTCCCATTGCTCCATCTTGATTGAAGAAGCTGGGTCATTGTATATTTTCCTAATCTTGATTTTGCTCTAGTTAAGTATATTCTGTGCCTTACATTTGCTGTAAATGGATAGGTTTAAGATTGTTTTCACACATGTTTACCTAAACCACCACCTGGGGACGTGTTTGAAATGCAGCATCTCGGGTCCCCCAACCCACCCCCAGACACACTGACCCAGAAATACTGGATGGAATCCAGCCTTACATGTCCCAATAAGCTCTCAAGTGGTTCTAATGTGAAATTTTGAAAAGGGTGTGGGTTTAGACCGTCAGTACCAGGCCCAACCAAGCAGAGAGAAACCATTCATGCTGAAGTTTGAAGTCATGCAGAAAGCAAAGTTGTTTAGTAGCCTTCCAAGAAATGAGAAAGGCCAATAGGTAGAGCCTCACTTAGGCCCGTCCTGCTTGGCCTGAAAAGGAAGACCTTCTGCTTTGGCCTTTATAAGAAAAGGAACACTGAAATGAAGGACCCCACCTTCTGTTCCTTCAACCTTCCTCTGCCTGTGAAGCCAATCTGCTCAGTTCATCAGAGCACTTGATTTCTAAGGTAGATGGTGCCTGATTCTAGAAGCAGAAAAGACAATATTATCTTTAGATTTACTAATTATTTGTAGTTTCGTGGTAGTTGTGACTACACTCAGTTCTGAGTTCCCCTAACAGAATGGTTACCTTAATACAATGTTGTGGATCTGGGTTGTATTTAAGTTAGCTGTGGGTTTGATACCTTGCACTTCAAAACACACCACTGCCATCACAGATGAGCTCCACATGTTCAGTCACTTCCTCATCAAGTTCCACTGGCCCTGCCACCCAGAGCCTGCTCTGGACCTGTGTGTGGCACCTGCCTATAATTTCAGTACATTTGAGTCACAGCCAGGCCAGGAAAGTTAACAGCTGTAATGTTAGAGCACATACAAGGCCCCAGCTAGTACAGTGCCTGCCACTGCAAAAAGCTGGAGAAAATGGAGCCACACCCAGGTTTTCAGGAAAGTGTTTATGCAGCTAGTAACAATCTGCATTCCAAACCTCTGGACTCCTGAGAACTCAGTGCTTTGTGGTGTTCTGTAGTAGGGAGCAAAGCTGCTGGGACTTTGTGCGTTCCAGGCAGGTATTCCACCACAGCTATATTCCCAACTCATAATGGTATTTTTTCTTATTACTGTTACATTTGTGGATGTTAAAAGACTGCGTTCAGAAGCCCTCTCCTGCCATGTGGGTCCTGGAAATCAAACTCAAGTGACCAGAATTGGCAGCAAGTGCTTTTAGCAACTGGGCCTCCCGGCCACCTCAGTGGTATTTTGATTAGGAATTGGAGGATTGTAATCCTTCAGCAGTACACATCGTTTCTTCTCCTCCACCATAGTTTCCATTTGATGACTACTGTACTTCAACTCTAAAGGCATGAAGAGCAAGCAAGCTGTCAGTATAGTTGAGTGTTGGGACCTGTAGGTTCAAGAGGTGATGGAGCATCTGTAGTCTTAGGGTGGGCTCACAAGCCCAAAAGAGTGAGCTTCCTTCCTGTGTGAAAGCTTACAGGAGGCCATTGTTTGGGATTTAGCTCCAGCAGTAGACCCTAAAAGAACAGACCAAAAAGGGGGTAAAAGAGATGGTTCAACAGGTCAAAGCGCCTTCCACCAAGTCTGACAACCTGAGTCCAGTCCTTGGGACCCACATGGTCAAAGAACTTCGCAAGTTGTCCTCTAGACCTGTAAGCATGTTGCATGCATACACAAAACATAGAATGTGTAAACACCACAATAGACCAACGTGGAGCAGTTATTTCTGGTAAAAGTTCTGTTACCAACCCAAATTAAGCTATTTGGGTGACTTTCCAAGAAATCAAGTGAAAGCAAAATTTCAAAAACCAGTCTCAGCAGGATAGGGAGGTCCCCTCTGCCCTATTAATTTCAAAGAAAGCAGTGTGCGGGCTAGAGAGAGATGACTCAGTCAGTGGTTAAGAGCACTGGCTGCCCTTTGAGAGGACCCGGGTTCAAATCCCAGCGCCACATGGTAACTCCAATCCCAGAGGATCCAGACACACAAGAGGAACACAGATGTAACATGCAGGCAGAACATCCTTATAAAGCAGTCTGAAGGTAACCTGTTAACAGTATGGTACCTTGTTATGTTGCCCAGGCAAGTCCAGAACTGGGCTCAAGAAATCTTGCCTCAATCACCAGAACTACTACATGAACGTGCCTTTGTGCCGATACTCTTCAAATTGTACTGGTATCTCAAGTCAGTGTGGCTACTGCTCTTCCCTACTTAACAAGTCTGATGGTTAAATGAGCAGGTTGTTCCCATGACTCTGGTGTTTTGTCTCTTTGGAGTAGTACATTTAATTGTACAAGTGAATCACTTGCCCAGAACAGATTTTGTTTTGCCTTTCTGGCTTCAGTATGAGTGCCAAGAGGGTAGGCCCAGGGAGATGGCTCACCAGGAAAAGCTTTGCCACACAAGCTTGCCATCAGGAGTTTGATCCTTGGAACCCATGGTGAAAGAAAAGAACTGACGCCCAAAAGGTGTTCTCTGACCTCCGTTCATGAGCCTTGGCACACACATACCTGCACTCACACATCATACAATACTTTTTAAAGGGTGGGATGAACTTAGAGTCCCAGTGCATGTGGTATGAGCTTAGGGATTCGATCCTCCTCACATGACTTGTCTCCATTAAGCACTGAGCATCCAAACAAGGGAAAACACTTCCTGAGCCCCACCCCAAATGGCCTGTGAGGTAGTTGCCAGAGGCCTGATTCTTGGTCTCTAAAGACCAAATTTGGCTATCTGCCTTAAGAATCATAATAGTGACTAAATTGGGCCCGTTATACCTGTGATCCCAACTACTTGGGAGGCTGTCAAAGGATTATATTAGACTGTCTCAATATGACTTTTTTTTTTTTTTTTTTTTTTTTTAAATAAAAGAAGGGGTTTGGTCTAGCATGCATGAATCCTTAGGTTCTGTACCTAGTAAAGAATTTAGTATGGCTGGTCTGGAAGGAATGGGACCAGTGCCATAAGCTCCTTCAAGGTACTAACGGAAGCTTGACCCAAAGAAGAGACAGAACTCAGGGCAAGAAATACACATAGCCTGGTCATACAGGGCTAGTTCTATGGAGTTATTTCTGCCACCTGGGAAATCATTGAGTGGGCACTTAAGTTCTGACATAAGATTACCAGCCTGCAGGGCTGTTTCTGGAAGTCAGTATGAGCTGAGGGGAAATGACTTAGAACAAACCAGAGGTAAAAAATGGAGTCAGTCGGTAATGACTGTTTACTCCGGTGAAGGAAGCAAAGGACAATTTCAAAGGGGCCCCCATTCTGAAGTGAGTGAGTGGTCTTTAGGGAATTTCAGTCCCAAGTCCACAATACCACAGGGCTTAATGTCCCATCTGCTGTCACTGAGTGATAAAACCCAAGACTGGCCACTTGGGCTTTGCCCAACCCCAAAACTACCTCCACAAGAAGAGATGCCAGGGCAGAGTTGCTGCTTCCCTGTGTGCTGCTGCTCCTGACAATTTCCCCTTACAAGTTCAGCGAATTTACTTCCAATCCTTCTGTTTTGCTTGCTTCTTGTAATACTTTTAATTTATGTGTATGAATGTTTTGCTTGCATGTCTGTATATAGTATGTATGTATGCATGCATGCATGCATGCATGCATGTGTACCACAGAAGTTGGCATCAGAGCCTCTGGAACTAGAGTTACAGATGGTTATGAGCCACATGGCAAACCTAGGTTCTCAGCAACAGCAACAAGTGCTCTAAACCACTGAACCACCTCTCCAAGCCCCCTTGTGATATTTTTTATGTAGCCTTTTTAGGTGTCTGTTAGAAGGGTTCCAGATTTGCACAGTCTGATGTGTCTGTGGAAGCAGAAATGTTTCCACATGTGAAGGGCAAAACGCTGTTATTCTGAGACCCTTGGACTACTGCAACAGTGACTTCAACTCCTAATGAAACAGAAGTGTGGGCTACTTCCAAACTACAGTTTCCTCCATGCTTCTCTATGCAACACCATCTGGGCCCATTCTTGGGAAGGGGGTGGAATGTGAAGGAAGCAATGGACTTGCTCACTCTCTCCTAAAGGCAAGCTGGGACCAGAGGGTAAAGTGAGCATAAGAACAGAGCTGCCCACATCACATCAGCTTGGAAGCGGCTCTCCATCCCTGAAGGTGTTGGGAATGAACAACAGGTATTAAAACTGATGAGGATGTAAATGGGCAGAAAATAGCAACTGAAGTCTATATGGGCTGTTTCTGGATCCCACCTGCTCAAATTCTGTGCATCTGTTTGAATCACTAAAAGATGGATTTGTAATTAAGAAACCATGTGTTCTAATAGGTTTACCCCTTTAATACTTAGCCATCTTGGAATCTTAGAGTCTGAATAGAGATAAAAGACAACTGAGCGATGGTTGTGTGTGTGTTGGTGTATATAAAGAGGCTTCTATGATTATGGCAATCTCCTTCCTTTTTCTGACTAATCTTGACCCTATGAACACAAAATGTGATTAAAACCGTCGAGGCCAGACAGAACACATGAAAAGAACAGTTAAAATCTGCATAAATTTAAACTGTTAGTCACAGCAATTGGGAGAATTTACCATTTAAGTAAACTATTTTTCATCTAGTATGGGAGTCTAAGGATTTGGCTGATAGCTACCACCTAAGAGTCAAATAGACCTGTTTCTTTTTCTGTGAAATAAGGGGGTAAAATTAAAAACCAGTGTGTAAGGGAAAAGTGGGCCACTGAAGAGCCAATCAGAAGACATTTATTAATTAGTACCCACTCTGCTAGGAACTGGGAATACTAAAAACTGGTGGGTTTCCTTCATCCTAGAGTGCAGGCCCTCCTTAACTCTTGAATTACTCAAGTCTCTGTGACGTTACAGCCCTGGGGCTAGAATAAGAACCAATGAAAGTAGAGGTCTGGTAGAGACTGTGAGTTAGGGAAATGGATGACAAAAGAGGAGCCGGTGACTTGTTGGAATCAACACCACAGGAACCATTATCAAACTCTAGAACACAGCATGACAGTCTTCCAGTATTGACTGTAATGTTGCCAGGACACATCAGCCAGTGGCAGTGGGTCACCCAAACCCTGGCACGGCTGGGGTCCTTCATGCCAGGCAAGCTCAAGGCCAGACCCGCCTGGTGCCAGGCTTCCTTGCTCTTGCTGTGCGTGCTTTTCACCCGTCCTAGGAGAGTTGCCCAAAACTCCTGAAGTCCCCTTCTCCAAATGTGGGACCCGGGTGTATGCAGGAGTGCGGTTTGCCTGGTACAGACCATTCAGCTGGAGGTCCATCAGGCTGGGTGCTGCTCCAGGCTCTGTGATTCCCAGAATACTGTAAGAATCTCCACCCACTTCTCCCGAGAAGCTAGCGGGTCCCGTGGGGAAGCGGCAGTTAAGCCTGCACCCCCATCCCACCCCCGGGCTCCGACCGAAAGCAAAAGCGGCAACATGGGTCCATGGCCGCTCAGACCAGGCGGCTAAGGAGCTCCGCGCTGCGCTCTGCAGGGAACGGGCCCGCCCCCCTGTGTGCGCAGGCGCGCGCCGCACCGGGCTCCCACGGTCACTTGGCGCGGGCTGCACCCGGTAGCCTTGCAGGTAAGCACGGGTCGGTGGGCTCCGGCTGGGTGCTCTCGGAACATCACACCCCGGTCACGGCCGGCCGGCACGGCGAGTGTTGGTGTCCTGTGGGCCCCGCCCCAGGTCCTTTCCCAGCTCCTGCCGCACCGACCGCGGGCTGGGGGGGTGGCTCCGCAGACCGAGGGATGGGCGCTGCCTGTGGGGGCTGCGGGATGCCGGGCGAACGAGCCCACGGGCACCGCTATCTGCATCCAGAGCGGCGGGGAGGACAGAGGTTCGGCCTTGCAAAGAGATGTAATCGATTAAGAGTTTCCATTAATGAGAGGGTGTGGAGGGCGAGTTTGGGGTTTCCATAGGCCATTTGGCAAACTTTCCGCTGTCATTAATTTTCAATATTTTTAACAGAAAATGAGATTTTTTTTTAAAAAAAAAAATTGGCTATGGAGCGGGAAAGAAAAAGCTAAAGAATTCCGCCATTTTGGCGTTTAAAAAAAGTAACCCTTCTGCAGAGCGGATGGATCAGTGACCGCCCCGCCCGAGACTGTCTGCATTAGTTAGTCTAGGAAGGCTGGTGGCGGGTTTGGACACTCCAACCGCTCAGGGCCGCTTCCACCCGCTAGCGTCACGTTGCAGCTTTGGCGGGAGCGAGCTAGGGGACCCCCCAAGTTTTCTGTGTGCCTCCAGCACTATCTCCCCTCTCTCCAACAGTTACCACCAGGGCATTTATTGGGTGTCTACTGTATACAAGGCCTCAAAGGGCTCTGGGTGGAGTGTGTGTGGAAAGCTTGACAGACAGCAAGAGACAGCAGCGTGGACACGTTCAAAAATTGTTTATTGAACATCTGCTATGTGCAACTACTCTCATTTTAAGTAGGATTCCCTGGAAACACAGATTTAAGTGTAGGTTTATGGGAGTAGCCTTTGAAGCCAGCAAGATGGAACAGAGACGGTAAAATGCTGGTGGAATCTCAACAGAGGCCTCAGCCTGGGGAGCAGGACGCCCTAAACCTGAGACGACCCTACAGAGATGCCTTGAATGAAGGTAAAGCGGTGGGGCTTTTCTAGCCCTCTGTCATCTGGTCATCTAGAGCTGATTTGGGGAGAGAACATTTGAATGAGAGTCCCCTGGCCAATTCCGGGAGAACCTGAGGCTGATGGCTGCCGGTTATCTCCATTAGTCTCCAGAAGGGGGCCTCCTCTGACTCTCCTCCCCCCTCACTGCTGCCCGTCACTGCAGGCTTTCCTCACACTGGCACTGCATCTCCCTTGCCCTCCCAACCTGTAATTGTTTTGGTGCTCCAAGGCTCCACTCCTTTCTCCGCATTCCCTTCTGTGTCTTAAATATCATCTGTGTACAACAACTTTCAAGTATGTTTCCAGCTCCACCCTCATCCTTTTACCTTTAAAGTATAAGCCTCGTGAGAGCCCTTTGTCCTGGTAGCACCAGTGTCCCCAGAGCATAGAGCAGTGCTGGCACTTCATTGGTTCTCCAGGACTTGCTGAGAGCAGACAGCAAGCCCTGTCAGAAAGGGCATCTTCAGCTGCTTCTCTGAGACACCTGCCACATGGGACTGGTTTTTGAAGGAGTTCTTTGAATAAGCAGCCACTTTTCATGATCATCAGTATTTTAAATAAAGAATTTATTCTATTTAAAATAATTAAAAGTGGTACAAAGGCATGGGTGGAGAGATGGCTCAGGGTTAAGAGCACCTGTGACTCTTTCAGAGGACCCAGGTTCAGTTCCCAGCACCCACATATTGTCTGACAACTATCTGGAGCTCCATTTTCAGGGGGATCAGAAGCCCTCTTCTGGTCCCAGCAGGTACTGCATGCACGTGGTGCCCAGACACATTCCAGTAAAAGCAACTGTACACATAAAATAAAAGTAAATATTTCTAAGTGGTATAAACACTTAAGCTGTGAAAAGCAAAATAAATTGGATTGAAATTTGGGGGATTCTGGAATATAAATTCATCTTGTTTGGCTTGAATGCTTCTTTAATTAGGTCACATATCTGACCTTATCTGTTTATACCATGGCTTTATACTTGCAATGATAGACATCTATAATATATTCCATTTTAGGAAGGAAACTCTTGGAAATAAATGAGCACACAAGAACAGCAAGAGAAAGAGAGAGGGAGGGTAGGCACAAGACAGCAGCCATTGCAACCTGATTTTGCAAGTGGGCAGTGCCCATGGTATTGGCTGGAAGCTGCCAACCAACCTGGAGTGTCTGTCTAAAGGGAGAGGAGTTCTATTTGTGAAAGACTTGCTGGTATCACTATCTCACAGCCAGCATTCACCAGAGCCCCTTCAGGTAGGTGCCATTACCACCTTTATTTTATTTTACAGTTAAGAAAACAGAGGCTCACCGGGCAGTGGTGGCGCACGCCTTTAATTCCAGCACTCAGGAGGCAGAGGCAGGCAGATCTCTGTGAGTTCGAGGCCAGCCTGATCTAGAGAATGAGTTCCAGGACAGACAGAGCTACACAAAGAAACCCTGTCTCAAACAATAAACAAAAAAAGGCAAAGAAAAGGGGACTGGAGAGATCACTCAGAGGTTAAGAGTACTGGCTGCTCTTCCAGAGGTCCTGAGTTCAATTTCCAGCATCCACATAGTGGCTCACAACCATCTGTAATGAGATCTAGTGCCCCCTTCTGGCCTGCAGGGATGCACACAGACAGAACATTGTATATATAATAAATAAATAAATCTATAAAAAAATCCTATGTGTTTAAAAAAAAAAAAAAAAACAAAGAAAAGAAAACTGAGGCCCAGAGTGGGAAAGCTGCTGTCTGGAGTCACAGGTGAAAATATAGAGAAGTTGAGCATCTAACTCAAGACTCCGTCCTGGACTCAGCCTCATGCTCCTTCCTTACCATTTAAGCCATGGCTGCTAAGGGACAGCTGAGTAGCAACCATGCTACAGAATACTGTTCTCTCTCCTTTCCTCCCCTCCCCTCCTCTTCTCCATCCCCCAACCCCTCTGCTGGATTTGAACACAGGATTCATGCATGCTAGTCAAGTGCTTTGCCAATAAGCTTATACCTCCAGCTTCTGGACCTTGTGCTAACTGGGTTTTCATATGCTACACTTTTGCTATTCAGGTACGTGCATTTGTTCAAGAGAGGCTTCCACCGAGGCATTATACCCCTCTTTCAACTAATCATTCATGGCTGGGTTTGGTGGGAGTAGTGCATGGGGAAACACGAAAGAACAAGATCAGGAAAGATGTCACCTTCCACAAAGACCGACCTTGTTTGGATAGAGGAGAATGTGGTACCTGAAGACTCTGAGTTCTCAAAGAAAGGGAATGGAAGTGGGGGATCAAGAAAGAGATTATTTGGACTTAGTCTGGGCTTTGTCACCGGCCAAAACAACCTTGGCCTGAATCACACTTCCTATAAGCCATTTCTACACGCAGTGTGTATGTTATCCTCACACATGCCATTAGGCCACAAATTATGGGCAGGGGCAGATGCAGGGCCTGGCCAGAGTTCTGTATAACCTGGGTGAAGGCCAGGAGTCAGACCTGACGCTGGTGTGCTAGGACATTCTACTCCTCTCAGAGATGAGACCTTTCTCAGCATGTTGCTGATGTGAAAGTGACCAGTTTCTCCTCCAAAAAGCCCCTTCCCTCCCCATCCTCATCATCCTGGTGGCTGTGTTTGATTTGTAGACTCTTCTGGATGGAGGGGCACATGGAAATGGAGATACTAAGGACACTGAAGGGATCTTCCACAGGGGAGGTCAGTGTGCACCTGGTGGCCAGAGACAGCACAGGTTCCCGTCCTCACCTGCCTGCAACTGCCTTTATTATTCCTAGTAAGTCAAAGTCAGAGGTCTGGAGGTCACATACTTCCTCAAGAGGGTGTGGATAGAGGGCAGATGAGGATGACAATTTTCCATCTTTTTATTATTGTGTTTTGTTTTGTTTTGTTTGCGACAGGGTTTCTCTATGTAGCCCTGGCTGTCCTGGAACTCGCTCTGTAGACCAGGCTGACCTCGAACTCAGTGGTCTGCCTGCCTTTGCCTCCTGAGTGCAGGGATTAAAGGCATGTGCCACCACGCTCTGCTTTTCACCTGCATGGGTCACCAGGCTCATCTGTGCCCTGTTTTATCTGTGTATCTGTTTCTAGCCAATGCAGCTACCCTTGGTCTGCCCAGCACAGCCCTGGATGTGTCCTATCCCCGGGAGCCAGTCCATGTGGGCACCCTGGAGCGGGTGACTAGCACCAGCGAACCAGTTACTGCCACCATTCTGCCACAGCTAAGCACCGGGCCGGGGACCAATAGCACAGTCAGGCTTCTGGATTGGACAGGGGTTTCCACACCTTCAGCTGGGAGTGGCCTGCGGGTTAGTGCCCAAGAGGATTGGCAGCTGTGGGGCGGGGCATGTGGGCTTGAAGGCGGGGCTTGAGGAGGAAAGGCTGAGGGTGGTGGGCGTGGTTTAAACTGGCTCCGTAGGTGGGGGCGTGGTTGGGGAGAAGTGGGCGGAGTCTATAGGCCTGAAGTGTAGCTGGCAGAGCAAAATGAAGTGTGGGTGACCCAAGGTGGGTAGAGAGCTAGTGCAGAAGTCACAGTCCTCAGAATTTTCTGCATCCTTAGTTCCGGATAAACGAGTATGCGCCACTGAATATGATGGGAGTAGAACGACCACCATGCCCGGAACGACAGCAAGAAGGGCTGGTCAGACATGAAGGTGGCCCTACTGGAGGCGATACGGGCACCCAGCACCCCGGTAGGATCCTGCTCCCCAGGGCAATGCGTGGGTGGGTGAGACTTGAGCTCCCTGAGGACTCTTGGATGGGAATGTAACCAGAGGCAGTCCTAAGCGGAGAAGGCTTACAGGATGCTGTCCAGTAGGAGATGCTCTGTAGGGACGTGGGCGGAGCCTGGATGTGGTTGTCCAGGGATGGGAAGACTAAGGCCCAGTGGGCTCCCACAGAAGATGTCCACCGGAACCCTCAAGAAGTCAACTCTCAGGAACCCCCAAAGGACGCGAGCTCCTGCGAGTGCCAGACTTGTGGGCCTCAACAAGGCACTGCCCCAGACCTGGGTTCTTCAGGCGACTGCTGCCCTCCGCCTTTTCAGAAGCGGTGAGAACGACGGGTTACAGCCTTTCTCGCCCGGTTTTTAGCCCTTAAGGTCTGGCTCCGTGCTTAGGAAAATGTGGATACACCATATACTACAAACTGTATAGGGGTTTTGGGGATTTTTTGTTGTTGTTGTTTTGTTTTTCTCAAATGAGACCGTTCCTTTTGTAGGTCAGTCATAGTAGAGAACTCAGGCTGTACCATCGCTTCTGAGCTCCTAAAACCCATGAAGAAGAGGAAACATAGGGAGTACCAGAGCCCATCAGAGGAGTCGGAGCCAGAGGCCATGGTAAAAAGAGGGGCTCAGGGGGAGAAATGTAAAGCTGGAGCCTCAGTTTTGTAGTCTTGTCAATCAAAGATGGGGGGGGGGGTTGGCGCTCCTGTTGTGACTTACTCCCATATTTTCTGGTTCCATTTTGAATCAGGTATTAGACATAATTAAAGGAAGGAAGGAAGGAGGAAGGGATGGAGGGAGGGAGGAAGGGAGGGAAAGAAGGAAGGAAGGAAGGAAGGAAGGAAGGAAGGAAGGAAGGAAGGAAAGAAAGAAGGAAAGAAGGAAGGAATCATTTAGTATATAGCCCAGGCTGGATTTGAACTTACTCAGTAGATGTGACTGGCCTTAACCCCTATCTTTCTGCCTCTACCTCCTGACCACACCTCCTACAAATCACTCCTAATTTTCTGTGGCTCCCATCCTGGCCTGGTGTCAGGGTTACAGCACACACAAGGGAACTGGCACCCGAAGTAGATGTGTGGCGGTGGAAAAAGAAATCTCTGGAGTTTAGTACTGAAATGAGAGGTCAGGAAATACAGGGCTGAAGCTGTAGATGCAGGAAGGTTCTCTTAGGCAGGTAAAATCAGCACAGAGCAGATGTTCATATACTCAGTTTCCCCATCTGGGAATGAAAGTTGTAGTCAGGCTGTGTGACAAGGGTATGTGTACTCACACGAGTCTATACCCTCCCCCAATGGTACAGACCCAAGCAATGACTGACTGCAAGAGCAGAGATCTTGCAGTACCCTAGAGGAAACGCTTCCAATTTCGGGCATAACATTGGACCAGACACCCAGGCAGGGTCCAGGGACCAGAGGCTGAACTTACATCCCAACCCCTGAGGGCAGGAAGCTGGAGTCAGGCTTTCTTTCTGCAGAAGCAAGGAGAAGGAAAAGATGCAGAGAGACAGCCTACTGCCAACACCCCAGAGAGTGAAGAGTGGAGCAGGAGCCAGCTGGGTATGGTGGCCTGTGTGTATTTATTTATGTAAAGTGTTTATATACTTTTAGGGGTGTGGGACTGAAATGTGGGTCATGGTTGTGGTTGTATACATACAGTACATGTGAGCACAGGTTAGTGGATGTGAAAGAGACTGAGTGAGACTGCTGGTGGTTTGTGCATGACTATATGTTTATTCTTGGGGTTGTTTATCTTGCATTATTCAGCTGTGAGGAGGCCCTACTGGGAAGTCTGGGCTTGGTTTCTGAAGACTTGAGGCGCGTGTAGTATTACTTCCCCTTGGTGGTATTGGTAAGCCCACACTGTTCGCTGGCCTGACCTTCCTTTTTGGGCCCCTTTCCTGATCTTCTGGTTCTAAGAAAGAGGTCCTTCATAGCTAGCTTTAGCCCTCAGGCCTGCGGTTAGTATTTCTATAGTCCAGGTGACAGCTGTCAGCTGGATCTAAGCAGAGCTTATCATACTGGTAATCATCTGTGTAGCAGTTTTATGTCTTCCTCCCCAAACACTTAAATTTATCAACACAGGGCCTGAATTTATTTATCTGTTTATTTATAGTTTTATTACATTTATCTGTTGGGGGGAGGCACATGTGCCTCGGAGCCTGTTGGAGGTCAGATGACAATTTTCCTGAGTCAGTTCTCTCCTTCCACCACATGGGTCCTGGGGAATCACTGATTGGTCAGGTTTGGCAGCGAGTGCCTTTACACATTGAGCCATCTTGCCAGCCGAGACTTAGGTTATTAATCACTGTGTCTTGGACATTTAGCCTAGAGCCTGGTATAGAGTGGGTTCTCAAAGAATGCCTGTTCGGTGGGTGAATTGTGCCCACCAGTGGTCATCTCCACAAACCACCTTTCCCCCCCCAAATAACCAACAGTTTGCCTTCTGCATATAGATTTGCCTGTTTGGGCCATTTCATTCACATGGCATCATGCGTGTTGTCCTGTGTGGCTGACTTCATTCGCTTTAGCATGGTGGTATCAAGGTCTAACCATATTTTAGTGTCCGTGGGGACTTGATTCCCTTTTGTTTAATGACATCCATACTGTGGTTATCCATCAATTGATGGGCAGATTGCTTCTGTTTTGGACTGTTATGTTCTCTTATCTGAATTATTGTACGAAGTTTTGTGTAGATTTATGCTTCATTTCTATTGGGCATATACCTAGGAGTGAATTTTTCTTTCACATAATAACTCTGTGTTTATCATTTGGATACATTACTAGGCTGTTTTCCAAAGTGACTATACTGTAGTCTTACATCCCCGACAGAATGTGCAGGATTCTAGCTTATCCCTGTCCTCAACACTTAGTGACACCTCTTTGTTTTTCCCATTTTAACCATCCTGTGGGGGTGGCGTGCTATCTCCCTGTTGTTTGGATTTGTGTTTTCCTAATGACTAGTAGTAAGTGATATGTTGAACATCTTTTTTATGAATTTATTGGCCATCTATATATTTTCTTTGGAGAAACTCAGACCCTTGCTTATTTTTAAATTGAATGTAAGCAGCTGACTCTATGTTAAAATGCTATAGTGACATACGGAATTGGGAGGGGCCTGAGAATATGAGTGTAGTTCAGTATAGACACCAGTCAGGAATCAACTTCAGGAACTCTCCTGCTTCTCACTTGCCTTCTCTTCCTCTCTTCTTCTTCCTCCCCAACCCCTTTCTTTTTTTTTTTCAAAGATTTATTTATTTATTATTTATTATGTATACAGTGTTCTGCCTACATGCATGCTTGCAGGCCAGAAGAGGGCACCAGATCTCATTACAGATGGTTGTGAGCCACCATGTGGTTGCTGGGAATTGAACTCAGGACCTCTGGAAGAACAGGCAGTGCTCTTAACCACTGAGCCATCTCTCCAGCCCCAACCCAACCCCTTTCTTTCAGAATTCCTTTTGGCTTTTTAGGATGATTTTCTGTTTTGTTTTGAAACAGGGCCTCACTATGTAGCTCTGGCTGGCCTGGAACTTGCTACATAGACCAGACTGGCCTCAAATTCAGAGGTCCATCTGCCTCTGTTTCCCTGGTACTGGAATTAAAGATGTGTGTCACCACTCCTGGGCCTTTTGTTTTTTGATTCAGAGTCTCACTATACAACCTAGGTTGGCCTCAAAGGAATGATTCTCCTGCTTCAGCCAAGCACTAAGATTATAAGGCATGTACCATCCCATCTGGTTTAGTGAGGTATTTTTGTTTTTTGAGACAAGGTCTTAACCTTTGGCTCCAGCTAGACTCCAGTTTACAGTCTTCTTGCCTCTGCTTTGCAGATCCTAAGTTATAGGCCCGAGCCACCTCACCCAGCTTAGAAATGCGTTCTGATTCTTGTTTGTTTGTTTGTTTGTTTGTTTGTTTGTTTGTTTGTTTGAGACATCTTCTCATTCGATAAGCCCAAGCTGGCCTGGAACTCATGATGCATCTCAGGCTGACCTTGCCTTTGCCTCTATAGAGCTGATATTACAAGCATATGCCACCATGCTCAACTATAGAAACACTTTTTTGACTGAAGTTCCTAATTCAAATATCCATGCAAAATTCTACAAACCCTTAACTTGGAGGGGGAAGATGGTCCCTGCCTTTCGTTAGCTTTTCAGAATATTTCCTCAATAGCAGCATGTTCATGAGGGCACTGCCCTCATGACCTAGTCATCTCTCCCTACTCCACCTGTCTTTTAGACAGGATCTCACTATGTAGCCTTAGATGGCTCATGAATGTTGGCATCCTGTTTGCTACATTTTCTCCCTCTTTCTCTAGATATTGTCCACTGTGTATGGAGCTGAGCATTCAGAGTGAGCTAGACACTAGGACTCACCTAAGGAGCTCACAGTTGCAGAGATGGATATGTAGACAAGTAGCTGTCATATAACAGTATGATGTATTATATATCACATAACAGTATGTTATATATCATATAACAGGTATCATGTGTGAAATATGTAAACACAAAGCCATTTCACAGGACAACTGCCACATGCAGTCAGCCATTTCATGACTTGGTACACCCGTCTTTTCTCTAGTCATATACTGAACACTTGTTGAACACCTACTCCTTGTAAAGCCTTAGCTAGATGCTGTAGCTGGGTCTGGGTCTTAGAGGGTGAGGAAAAGATAGGAGGATGGAAGAAAAGTGTGGAGCAGGATACCTGAGCTAGAGGGCTGGGCCTGTTCAAAGCCACAGACAGGTCCAGAGGTGGAGAGGCTCGTGGTGAAGCATGGGCAGGAAGGAGTGGCTCACTCACAGAGGGCTTTGCTGGTTTTGTGTGTGATATTGCTCTTTAGTTGGAAATGAGAAGATACTGTAGGACTTAAAAAAAAAAAGAACTCTTTACTTCAGAGATGTTTTGGAAGTGTAATAAGTTTGGAACAGAAAGATCAAGAAGGGGGATCTTGGACTGGTTCAGAGCAAGAACTAAATGAGGAGATGTGGAGAGAGACTCAGCAGACACAGGAGTTGGAATCAGCAGGACTAGAGGATTCTGGGGAACAGAGAAGCACACAGGTCAGTGCCAGGTCCCTGGCTAGATGACTGGATGGACGTGCCACTATCTGGGATACACAGCACCAAAAGGGCCACAAGCTTTGGTGTCGTAGTTTCCAGGTTGGTTTTGATCAGGCTAAGCTTGCCAAGGGCATCTGATGAAGCAGGAACAAGCAAAGGAGCATTTCTGGAAGCCAGAGGGGATCCGTTTACAGCTGGCCTCTGTGATGCCTTCACACAAATCATGTAAAGATGCCTCTTATTTGCAGACCAGTCAGAAGAGGGCTCCTTCTTCACTGTAGACAGTTGTAGTTGGACTTTCTTGTCGGACTTTCTTTTGGGACCACCAGCCCCCAAATAATGACACAAAGACTTATTAATTATGAAAGTTTGGCCTTAGCTTAGGCTTGTTTCCAGCTAGCTCTCATAACTTAAATTAACCAGTTTCTATTAATCTACATTTTGCCACATGGCTTTCTACCTCTCCTCTATTCTGTATGTCCGACTCCCTCTGTGTCTCACTGGCATCTCTCATGTGCCTAGATTCATCCCTTTAGTTTCTCTCTCTGCCCAGAAGTCCAGCCTAACCTCTTCTGCTTAGTTTTTGGCCATTCAGCTTTTTATTAAACCAATCACAACAACACATCTTCACACACTGTACAAATATCCCACAACATTTCCCCCCTTTTGTCTAAATAAAAAGGAGAGGTTTTAACTCTGACATAGTAAAACTATATACAATAAGAACAATTATCAGGTAAGAATTACATTTACAATACTCAGTCCATTTGTAATTGGCAATTCGGAGAAATTGCTCTATTTTCTATCTCTCTTGATAAGTCCAAAGTTTTATATATAACCGCTTTCTATTATAACTTGTATTACCAATCTAAAAGTATCTTTTTAGACCTAAAAACATTTTCTTAGATGGATGACTTAAACTTTTATGTCTCTCAACCTTATAAACTTTATATCTCTTTTGTAAGTTTCTCTTTTGAACTTGGTAACAAAGAAAACAGTATAACTATCTAGTCTTCAACCCCATCAAACACCTGAGAAGGATATACTATTACCTGAGTAAACAGGAAGTACAGAGAAAACAACTTCCAAAACTATAGAAATGACAGAAACAGCTGGCTGCCTGGACAGTCACCCAAGATTCCTCTGCAACGTTGGGGCATCTATCTTGGACCTACAGGCCTAGAATATCTGACAGACTTTTTTGTAAAGCAGGAAATTTTTGAAGAACTGTCCTACCCTGTCTTGGCAAAGTTTGACAGTCGCCTTCTTTTGTGTTCTGCTTGTCCAGTGTGGACAGCATACTGTCAGCAATTGAGTCAAGGGCAGTTTCTTGCCCAATGGCTGGCTTTGCCACATTGAAAGCAAACTCCATATGGAGGTTCTTCAATGCCCATCATCTTCTCTGAAGTAAATTGATGCTGCCAGGAACAGATATACCTCACTGTCATGAAAAGTCTTATGTTATTAAAACATCTTAAATGCTATATTTGGTAGGTCTCTGAAGTGGTGAAGAGCATCGCGGTATCTAAAAATGTCTCTGTTTGACCTTGAAAACATACCTAACATGACTACAAGTTTGATTGTTATAGATAACTACTAACCTGCATTTTTAAATTATCCTAAATAGTTTATAATAATAGCTTTCAAGAACTAGAACTTTACATTACATTTTTAAATGAGCCTCATAGGTACATTACCTTACAGTATGTTATAACAAAAATAACTTTAAATTTTTATCAATATACAAAAATACCTTAAACAAGAGTAGAAACATATATACAGCATGTTATAACAAAATAATCTTAAATTTGTATAAATATACAAAAATCCATACCAATGTAAAATATTTGAGATTGATAGTTACTTTTTAGTTTAAAAGTAGATTTAATAATCTATCCTTTTATCCTGTCATTTATGTATCACCACTTCTTCTTTTGAGAAACAGATCCTTGAATCTAACCTCCCTTGCTTTTTTCCTCCCTTACCACAACCAGTAACAATTTACAACCAATACCTGTAGCACAAATCTTAAAGGTATTTATTAATAAAATCAGCCGGGCAGTGGTGGCGCACATCTTTAATCCCAGCACTTGGGAGGCAGAGGCAGGCGGATCTCTGTGAGTTCGAGGCCAGCCTGGTCTACAGAGTGAGATCCAGGACAGGCACCAAAGCTACACAGAGAAGCCCTGTCTCAAAAAACCAAAATAATAATAATAATAATAATAATAATAATAATAATAATAATAAAAAATAAAATAAAATCAAACCTGAGGCCAGTTATTGGGGTGAATGCTGGAAGATCAGAGAAGCAGAACAAGCCACAGCTAACCTCACCTGGCCAACTTCTCAGCTGATCTTGTTTCCTCAGACTGGAAGCCTCTGTGTCCTCATATCTGAATGGCTCTCAGCTGAACTGCTGCTAGAAGCCTGAAAGCTTAACCAGCCAAAATGCTGCTAGTTTCTGGTCTTCACGCCTTATGTATCTTTTTGCTTTCTGTCATCACTCCCTGGGATTAAAGGCTCACTTCTTGGAATTAAAGGCTGTGTCACCATGCCTGGCTGTTTCCAATGTGGCTTTGAACTCACAGAGATCCAGAGGGATTTCTACCTCTTGAATGCTAGGATTAAAGACGTGTGCTACCACTGCCTATCCTCTATGTTTAATATTGTGGCTGTTCTCTTCTCTGACCCCAGATAAGTTTATTAGCATGCACAATATTTTGGGGAACACAATACCACCACAAATACCTCTAAACAATGACAAATATCCCAAACCATCCACCCCACCTCTCAGGAATGTAGGCATCATGTTCTTAAAATTACTTCCTGTTGTCTGGGGGTGATAGCATCTTTAGGGGACTCTGAGAAAATTGGGATAATGGTCAAGTCCTGGGAGAGCTAGCGGTATCATTTGTTGTCCAGTCTCTGTGTGGTGGGAAAGTGCAGGGCTTAACTGAAGTCCTGGCTGGAGCAGTCTGTGAGGCTGGACCATCTCAGCCAGCTGCTTTGAAGTTGTTCTGGATACAGATTGTTGAGGAAGCTGCAACAGAGGCATTCTGAGAGGCTGGATCACCTAGGCTACTTGTCTCCATTGATGTCTGGTCCTTTTTTTTTTTTCCTGACAACACAGAAACTTTTAAAGGTAACATGCATATCTGCATTAACACAAGTATGGAATGTGCAGTGTGCACAAATCAACTAAAGATGATTCTCTGTTCCATGTTTGAGCAGGTAAAAGACGTCTGTCAACTTTATAAGTCCATTTGGACTGTATAATCAAACTGTAATATAAATCTCATTCCATGCCATATGAAAATATGGCATGTAATAATAAGTCATGAGAACTCTGTAGCTAACAAGATTTATCATGTCTCATCCAGTCTCAGAGCTGTGCCCATGTCCAGGGATCAACTTTATACATCACCTGTCTTATTGTTTTTCTTGGTTTCTTCCTTCATGTCTGCAGCCAAGATTTTCAGGAGGTTTCCCAATTAAATCTCATCTTTATTAATTTTGAAGGAATCCATAGCTTTTTGTTTCCTGTGGAAACAAAGGCACACCTCTCCCCCAACACAGCACATTTTTTTACTTCCATTCTAAAGTTAAGACATTCTTAAAATATATAGACTCGTTTAATTCAGTAGTTTTTCCCACAATCCAATATCTCTCAGCAGCTGCCATTTTTTGTTCATTAGCATTTAAAAAATTTAAAGTTGCTAAAGTGCTATACAGGATCCAGACATCCTGTGTTATATTTCCCATCCTTTTGTGGCTTATTTATTTTATATTACTTTACTCTCTCTTTAAAGACTTTAATTTTTAAACTATTTTTTCTATGACTTTACCCATTTTCTTTTCTTTCTTCAGCATCTAAGCACATTTTCTTTTCTTTCTTTCTTTTTTTTTTTTTTTCTGAGACAGGGTTTCTCTGTGTAGTTTTGGTGCCTGTCCTGGATCTCGCTCTGTAGACCAGGCTGGCCTCGAACTCACAAAGATCCGCCTGGCTCTGCCTCCCGAGTGCTGGGATTAAAGGCATGCGCCACCACCGCCCAGCTATCAAAACACATTTTCAAGCATACTCTACCTATTCAGAGGTTTTCTCAGCATGGACCTGACTTTTTGCAGTCTGTAGCTGGAGTTTTCTCCCCAGGTCCCGCCAAGCCCCGGCAGTCCCTTAGCCCACTTATAAAATAAACACACAGACTCTTACATTATTTAAACTGCTTGGCCATTAGCTCAGGCCTATCATTGTCTAGCTCTTACTCTTATATTCAGCCCATTTCTATTAATCTATACTTTGCCACATGGCTCGTGGCTTACTGGTACCTTACATCTTCCTTGTCCTGGCGGCGGCTGCAGGCAGTCTCCTCCTTCCCTTCCTGTTCCCTCAATTCTCCTCTCTGTTAGTCCCGCCTATACTTCCTGTCTGGCTACTGGCCAATCAGTGTTTATTTATTAACATATTTGCCATACAGAACATTCCACAGCAGCAGTCTTCTCTGCAAAGTCTGCAGCCTCCTCTGACTATGGAAAACAAACTGTAAATGGCCAGGCACTCCACTGTGTGGCTGGCTAAGCACATGGTGCTGGCGGCTGACTCTGTCCTCTTCAGGTCCACAGGCAGTGATGGGAGCCACACCTGACTGTCCCAGCCACACCTCGCCTAACCATCTCAGTTCTGGAAGGTTGTGTCTGTGCTGCAGTCTGTACCTAGTGCTGAGTAGTGTGCAGGCTTTCAAGTGCTCAGCTGCACAGCAAGGCCTCTCAAAAGAGCCGCATCTCTGTACACTGCTAGCATTGGGCCTGCTTAGGAGATGCAGTTACTAAGAAGTCATGTCTGGCTCCATGTTCGGAACTTTTTTTTTTTTTTCAGCTTTCTTGGGCCCTATGTGGATATACATGATCCTATGTTGGGTGCCAAAGTAGTTGTACTTTCTTGTCAGACTTTCTTTGGGGACTGCCAGCCCCCAAATAATGACACAGAAACTTATTATTAATTATGAATGCTTGTCCTTAGCTTAGGCTTGTTTCCAACTAGCTCTTATAACTTAAATTAACCAGTTTCTATTAATCATCTGATTTTGCCACGTGGTATTTTACCTCTCCTCCATTCTGTATGTCCAACTCCGTGTCTCAATGACATCTCTCATGTGCCTCAATTCATCCCCTCAGTTTCTCTCTCTGCCTGAAAGTCCCACCTAACTTCTCCTGTCTAGCTATTGGCTGTTCAGCTTTTTATTAAACCGGTCACAATGACTCATCTTCACACAGTGTACAAATACCCAGCAACAGACAGCCACATGACTTGGCGAGGAACCCAGTCTGGACATCAGCCCCCTGCAGCCCCTTGCCTGGGTGTCAGTGTGGAGTATATAGATTGTGCAACCACACAGAAGAGCTTTAGGACTGACTTGAGCTTGGAGATGAGACTAAAAGTTTACCAGGAGAAAGGATGCAGGAAACTGGAGGGAGCAAGGGGCTTGTCCATGGGAGGAATCCAGGTATTACAGAGAAGTGTGGGAGCCAGACCTCTTTTCAGTGGAAGATACACAATACAAGATCTCCTTTTCGCATCTGTATAAGAGGTACCTACCAGTCCTTCCTGTCACCTCAAGGCATTGAGAGCTCTAAAAGAGATGATGTATATGAAATCCTTGAGGCATCTCTGAACTCTCAATTGCTGGCAGCAGACGTGGCATACAGATGGTTCCACTAAATGGTAAAAGGAATAGTTAAGGTAAAACAAGGTGGTGTGTGATAGGAGACAGAAGGCTGAAGACCTGTTACATGTTATGTTCAGTGAGAGCATCACGATAGCATTGGTGGAGGCTATAGAGATGGCTCAATGGTTAAGATCACTGGCTGCTTTTCAGAGGACCTGGGTTCAATTCCCAGCATCCACATGGCGGCTCACAACCATTTGTAACTCCAGTTCCAGAGGGATCTGATGCCCTCTTCTGGCCTCCATGGGCACTGCATATACATGGTGCATAGACAGACATGCAGGTAAGACACCATATACATTTTTAAAAAATTAAAAGTTAAGTACTGGCGCAGGGAAGGCAGTGATGTGAAGGAGGACTGGTGGTGTAAGAGCAAACAGATCACCAAAGTGCCTGTGAGAAACGTCTGCTACGGCGTCGGGTGTGTGTCTTACAGCTTGGCTGTGTTAGAGGAGGGGTAAAGGGGAGTGAACTCAGGACCGAAGGGCCTAGGAGCAATAAAGGTGCCTGAGATGAGAATGCTGGCAAGCTCTCAGCTGCTGACTGAGCTTGTGCCACAGCTTGGGGAAGGGAAGGCAAACGGGGTGTTATCCAGGGAGAAAGACCTGGATGTTGCTTGGCCATAGCAGTGGTCATCTGGATAAAATAAAGAGTCAGATAGGGTGGTGTGGTATCCCAGCGGCCAAAAAAAAAAAAAAAAAAAAACACCAACATGAATAGCCTGGCATCCTGAGCTCTGATTTTGTTTCTCTGTGCCCCTGCTCAGTGAGTATTTATGAAGCTGTATAAAGCTGTGTAAAGAGCTAGGGGAGAAGACGGGCGGCGGTGGCGCACACCTTAATCCCAGCACTCGAGAGGTAGAGTCAGGCGCATCTCTGTGAGTTCAAGGCCAGCCTGGTCTACAGAGCGAGCTCCAGGACATGCACCAAAGCAACACAGAGAAACCCTGTCTCGAAAAACCAAATGAAACAAAAAGAGCTAGGGGAGTTCTGGAGGAGTGTAGTAGAAGTCTTACTCGGGACAAAGGATGCCCTGAAGAGATGTTCACTAGATATTTGGCATTGACATCAATCTCCGAGAGAGTTTGATAGCTTGATTGATCAGTTGATGAACTGATCAATATTTGTCTTAGCCCAGTTGGGTCAGGTCATTGGGAGCTCAAGGTTTGGTACAGTGACTGAGGAATTTAGGCAGCTGTAGAACAAACTTGAGTTCCACTGAGGAACAAACCATCTTCCTGAGCAACACACCACCACAAGCTTGAATGACCCAACGCTGAGTGAACCAGAGCAAGGAGGAGCTGGCTCAGTCAGTCTTGAGTAAGAGCAGAAAGAATCAGTAACCTGGGGCTGGAGAGATGACTCAGAGGTTAAGAGCACTGACTGCTCTTCCAGAGGTCCTGAGTTCAATTCCCAGCATCCACATGGTGGCTCACAACCATCTGTAATGCGATCTGGCACCCTCTTCTGTGTACATAATAAATAAATAAATCTTAAAGAAAGAAAGAAAAAGAAAGAAAGAAAGAAAGAAAGAGTCTCAGCTAAAATTGCACAAGAAATAAAGTTATTAAAAAAAAAAAAAAAGAATCAGTAACCTGACTCTAGTCTTGGTATTTCATAAGGTATTTCTGGACCACATGTTACAGAATCCTCACAAGCGCTCTATAGTAGATAGCATCACAAAACTGAGTCCATTTCCAGAAATTAGAGCTGTTTCCACCCAAAATATAAGCCAATTCTTATACAGTGTTGAGTCTCTGATTGTCTGTGGCCTTCAGTGGAAAGCAGCTCAGCTGAGCAGGTCAGCCTACCTTCTGGGTGACTGGTAGTCATAGCCTTTAAGGTGTCCTGTGCATGGAGGCCAGGAATCTACCAGCAGGAAAACTTCCCATCCCTCCTGCCCCAGGCACTCATAAGGGTATGAACAGGACCTGAACTGTAGTATTTGTGTGTGTGTGTGTGTGTGTGTGTGTGTGTGTGTGTGTGTGTGTGTGTGTGTGTTTGCACACGCTCATGTCCATGAATGCATGTACCCATCACACACATATATGCTCACCCTAAGCACGTACATGTCTGGGAAGACTAGAATTGGTCCACGTACTGGAGCACATTAGGCTCACACCCACATGTATGTCTATGCCTGTAAGTACTTAAGAAAACAATCTTTAGAAAGGTTTATTTCTGTGTGTTCTCGCCTTCACTTTTTCCGACCTGTTCTCCCTCTGACTCTCTACTTCCTCTTCCCTTTGTGAGCTTAGGTAGCGGTATGATTAAGTCCTCTGGCTTAGGTTTCATCACTAATCCTCACCCTGCATGTTTCCAAGGACAGAGTGGCTGAGACTTTGTGACCTTAGTTGCTGTATAATCCAAAGAGCTTCTGCTGACAGTGGCTTGGCGGTGGAGGAAGAACAAACAGAATCTGAGCCCCCCTGTGCCCGGCACTGTCATAGCTGAGTGTGATAAGAGGTACACATGTGGACAAATAAAGGTTTGCTTGGAGATTAAGATAGAGGTTAAGACAGAGCTCAATCTGGGAAACCGAGGAAGATTGTCCATGTCTTGGAGGTAACCCAGGAGCCAGCCTGGCTGTCTTGTCTCTGCAGTGTCGCGGGAGAAGAAGGAAGGCTGGTCCTGGGAGTCCTACTTGGAGGAGCAGAAGGCCGTCACTGCCCCAGTCGGCCTCTTCCTGGACGTGAGTTGGGCAATTTCAGTCTAAGGAAATGTTATCTTCTCAGTTCAGGAACTCACCCCCAAGCACAGGCCTTCTGGTATTTTCTTCTGGACAATCCTTGACATACTAGCAGAATGAAGATGTCCAGAGTTGAAAAGGGCATCCTGTAAGGGACTTCCTGGGTGTGAAGAAATAAGGAGGTGCCCTTCAGACTCACCCCTCACCTGCTGACTTGTGGATTCTGGTACATTTTCCCCGGTTCAGCATTGACCTCACCGTGAGGTAGATGAGAGAGCCCTTGACTCTAGCCCTGACCCAGCCCTTCAGAATAGTCCTGCAGCTCTCTTGCCCTCTGGGAACCTCTTGCAGAACAGAACCCTAATAAGTCACCCCTATGAGACCAGCAGGCACATGGGGCCTCTAAAGGCAGCTCCTTCACCCCAAGCCCACTAGGCAAGGATAAGGCTGCATGGAAGCTGGGTCCTCTCCACTCTGTGCATTGACAGTCCCAGGCAGTCACCCATCACAAGAATGGCTTCAAACTGAGCATGAAGCTGGAAGGCATTGACCCTCAACACCCATCCATGTACTTCATCCTCACTGTGGCTGAGGTGAGCTGGAAATACCCTCCAATGTCTTAGTGTAGAGTGACAGAGCCAGTGGGGGTGGGGGTGGGGGTGGGAGGGAGGCACTGCTTTGCCTCAGGAAGCCCAGACTACAAGAGGATTCATTGGAATATAGGGAAAGCTAAAAGCAAAATCTGGAAAGCAGATGAGGAGCAGTGGGACCCTGGTATTACTGAATAGTATAAATTGCCTATGCTGGGGCTGGGGGTAGGTATGAACGGTTCAAAAGGTGGGGATGCTGTCTCCAATCAGACAGGGCCCTTGTCCTCTGGGAAGGGAATCTGTGAGGTAAGCACAGCAGTGATGGGCCATGGGCTTGCAGATCAAGGAATATCCCATTTGGCCTGAGGGGGTAGGAAAAGTGTAGGCAGGTCTACCTGCCATGTCCTGCGTTTGAGCAGGAAAGTCCAAGCAGATGCAGCAAAATGGGTCCTGGGGCATGAGATAGAGTGTGACCATATCAGGGTGTACTGAGAATGGATAGTGAGAGCAGGTGGCTGGAGGAAAGACCCCAGGGGCACAGGACAACCTATAGTACTTTCCACATCATTTCCGGGGCTCAGGAGGGCAGCAGGCTGCCATAGTCTACCCACCTTACACTCAGCACTCAGGGCACCTGCTAGCGTTGGATCCTGAGATTGCGGGCTGGACCAGGAGAAGGGAAGGAGTGGGAAGAAGGTGGCATCTGATGGCACTGACGTGCCTCTGATTGTTTTCATGGCCAGGTGTGTGGCTTCCGGCTGCGCCTGCACTTTGATGGGTATTCTGAGTGCCACGACTTCTGGGTCAATGCCAACTCCCCTGACATTCATCCTGCTGGCTGGTCTGAGAAGACTGGACACAAGCTGCAGCCTCCCAAAGGTAAGACCTCCCTGGGTTGGTCCATGGAAGGCAGTGAGTCCCCGGACCCGTTCCTTACTCCCTTCAGGTCACCCTGCATCCCACATGTTTTGTTTTTTTATTAAAAACAAAACAAAACAAAAGTTTGGTCAGTTTCTGTCCCATTCTGATACAGCTCCACTCTGAGGCTTCTAAACCCTTTGAGTATTCACCAGGTCCTGTCTTCCTTCAGCAGAAGGGCCCCGAGGGTTTAGGGTCCTGCCTGTTTCTGCTTCATTACTGGGGCCCTCACCTTGGCCCAGCCTCTGCACAGCGCTCTGTTCATTCCCCCGAGGGGCCCAGGTTACAAGGCAGAAGAGTTCAGCTGGAGCCAGTACCTGCGCAGCACGAGAGCTCAGGCAGCCCCCAAGCATCTGTTTGCAAGCCAAGGCCACGTGAGTATCCAAGTAAAAGTGAACATCACCCTCAGGCCAAAGTCACTGCAGCCCGCCCAGGGGATCTGACGAGGCACAATGGAGCGACTGCTCAGCTCTATCTGGTCTCTTCTGGCTCCAGAGGCATGTCTGGGGAAAGGCCAAAGCCCAAATGGGGGATGCTGGTTATACATTCCTGTTTCCTCCTTCCATCTTCCCTCCATCCATTTTCTTTTAAATTACTTTTTTTTTTAATTTATTTTGTGTGTGTGATGCACATGCCACATAGCACTCCTGGAGTAGGTCAGAGGACAACTTGGAGTGGGTTTTCCACTTCCACCGTGTGGATCCAGGGATTCAAACTCAGATAGTTTGGCTTGATGGCAGGTGCCTCCACCCCCTGAACCATCTCAGCAGTCCTCATTCATTTTGTTGCTATAACAAAGTATCTAAACCTGACTAATACAGAAAGAAAAGAGCTTATTTTACCCTGCAGCTTTAGAAGCAGGAAGTCCATGATTAGGCAACCCTTTCTGTCGAAGCTCTGAGGAGACTTCCTGGCAGATGACCCCACACTGGTGAAGGCCTGTATGGAAGAGATCACAGGAAGTCAGAGGGATTTAAGCACAAGCGTGCTTGCTTTTTTTCTTTTTCCTCTTTGCTTTTTTTTTGAGACAGGGTCTCTCTGGATAGCCCTTGACTGTCCTGGAACTCACTCTGTAGACCAGGCTGGCCTTGAACTCAGAGATCCTCCTGCCTCTAAAGGTGTGCACCACCTCTGCCTAGCTCAAGCTTTATTTCTTTTTACGATTTATTTTATGAGTGTGTGTGTGTGTGTGTGTGTGTGTGTGTGTGTGTGTGTGTGTGTGCACATGTGCACATGCCAGTGCCTATGTGCTGCAGAGCCCAGAAGAGGGCATCAGAACCTGGAGCCGAAGTTAGAACATTTGCAGGTCATGGGTGCTGGGATCTGAACTCCAGTCCTTACAGTCGAGCAGCAAGCACTCTTAATCACTGAGCCATCTCTCCAGCCTGCTTCCTCTTCTTTAAATAAGGATTCAGTCTCTTATTCCAGCACAGGACCCTTCGGGGGACACACAAACCCTAGCATTCTCTGCTGCTGCAGAATTCTCCGCCATCTGGGCCCCAGAGGCTCTAGCTGACTGGGGCAGCCTGGACATTAACCTGTCACGTCTCACATGTTCTTGTTTTGGTTTACTCTGCGGCTCATTGGTCTAAGGTCAATGCCTATTCTGGCAGCCTTTCCCTTTTTGTCTGCTAACAGTCCCCCGAGCTCACCTCCTGTTTTTAATCTGTTCAGAGGCAGGTGGCAGCTTGAAGAGTTAAGTATCCCATAATCCCAAGCAAAGGGTCTGAGAGATACGGAGCTCCCATTGAAAATACTTCCACACTGGGAGCTGGATGTGCAGCTTAGTAATAGAGTGTCCCTCACCCCCCGATCATATTCAAGGGCCAGGGACTCCGTTATGCTGTTCACAGGAATAGTTACTCTCCCATTCCTGTCTGGCTCCAGAGACTATATTTGGGGTTAACAGGTGATTAATAGGGGCCCACCTCCTAGTGACAGGAAATGCAGATTTTTTTAAGTCAACTATTTGACTTCTGGCCCTGCCATTAACTGGCACTGTGTTCTGGGTCACGGATGTCACTTCTGAGAGGAGAATAACTATCTTAGGCATGTAGAGATGAGGAGGTGCTGTCTTCTGAAGCGTCTGCCTGCTGTGGTGACTACCCAGCCAGTACTAGTCCCTCCCACTCTGTACCCCCCTTCAGGGGTGGAACATCACTTCGTTCCCTACCACCCCACTACTGCCCCAGCTGCCTCAGGCAAGGCTGGCAAGGCTTGTCCGGGTAGGGAAGACTTGTCCTCAGTAAATACATAGCACTTGGAGGACAGAAGTCCCTGAGGGGCCCAGTCAACCCTCATTCCCAGCCTGTTTCTCCCTTATGCCCATTTCCCACTCCCAGGCCATCCATGTATGCCCACACCCCCACCGGCTCCTGCATTTGCCAGTGGCTCTGGGCTAGCTCCAGCCACCCTGGCCTTGCCTGTGACAGCCCTCTTCTTACTCCTAGAGCTCTCCACCCGTGGGCTTCCAGGTGGGCATGAAGCTGGAGGCTGTGGACCGCATGAACCCATCCCTCGTCTGTGTGGCCAGTGTGACTGATGTGGTGGACGGCCGTTTCCTGGTGCACTTTGACGACTGGGATGACACTTATGACTACTGGTACTGGGACCTGCAGGGGAAGAGGCACCAGGAGCAGGAAGCATCCCCGCTAGGACCTCAGACACCATGTGGCCCCACCCAGTTCTTCAGCTATTAGTCCAGATTTGGGGTGGGCGGGTAGTGAGCTGCCCTGTGGATCTGAGCTGAGTACCAGGTTGCATAACTCAGTTTTTCCTATTTCATCAGGAAATACCCGGTTAAGATATGCACCCACACGCCCCATAGATCTTCATTAGCTATTATGATGTGATAGAGTTTGCAGTTAATGTGGCAGTTTTCTGACCCAATGTTAGTCACTCATCTCCCTCTCACCAAGAAGACTGAGGAAGTCCCTGGTGCCATGCTGTGGGGACAGCAGACTCAGTCCTCCCCACTTCTCCTGGGACAATGACACACTCTTGGGTTTCAGGTGTGATCCCAGCAGCCCCTACATCCACCCGGTAGGCTGGTGCCAGAAGCAAGGAAAGCCCCTGACCCCTCCACAAGGTGAGGCTGCTGCCTGAGCATGCACCTTTCCCAGGCCTGTCTCTCACACCCTCCTGGTCTCTTAGCGTGTTAGACATGTTCCCTGTACCTCATTAGCAGGCCCTCTGGGATCAGAGCAGGGAACAGTTAGGAGCCTTGACACTTTGAGGTTTAGGAAAAGAAAGTTAGATAGCTACCTCAAGCATGCAGGGGTCTCAAGCAAAGGACATATATCCTTCCTCTTGGGACTACCACTGGCCCAAATGTAGCAGAGGTTTGGATAAGACTAAGTAAGGGCAATCGGGTCATATGTGATGGGAGCTAGGATTCCAACAGTCCTGAGCTCTTGAGGTCTTATGTGCTTGGTTCTCACCAGGATGGACCTATCTGCCCCAGGATATAATGCAAGCGTCTAATTGTGGTCACATGGGGGAAGTTTCTTCTCCAAGAGTCTCTGCCCCCTCTGTGTTCTTTTGTTTGTTTTGTTGCTGTTGTTTTCCGAGACAGGGTCTTTCTGTGTAGCTCTGGCTGTCTTGAAACTGGCTTTGTAGACCAGGCTGGCCTCAAACTCACAGAGATCCTCCTGCCACTGCCTCCCAAGTGCTAGAATTAAAGGTGGGCACTACCACTCCATATTCTTGATCCCAACTGGAGACAGAGAGTTCCCTCAGCCACCTGGCTGGCTCAGATATTGCTCTCACTCTCTTTTCCAGACTATCCAGACCCTGATAGCTTCTGCTGGGAGAAATATCTAGAAGAAACTGGGACCTCAGCTGTGCCTACTTGGGCCTTCAAAGTGGTAAGTTGTCTCTTGCCTTCTCCAGAGCTGAGCTTAGGAAGATGTGATCCTGTCAGTAAGCCAGAGGAGGGCCTTGGCCAAGACATAGTCTCCCTTGCGGCTCTCTTCTTGGAGCCTCAGCTCTTCAGAACTGGGCCTTATCCTGAAAGCATCTATCTCCCCACAGAGACCCCCTCACAGCTTCTTGGTCAACATGAAGCTGGAGGCTGTAGACCGCAGGAACCCAGCACTGATTCGGGTAGCCAGCGTGGAAGATGTGGAGGACCATCGGATAAAGGTGGCTCTGGGACTCTAGGCCTGGGGGAGTGGACAGGTCAGTGGGACAGGAATTCTGTAGAATGCTTAGAGGTCAAAGGCATGGCATGAAATAGGAAGCTGAAGACCCCAGATCTCATTTTTTCCTTATCTGTGATTCACTGTTGTGGGCTTAGAAGGGTCCCTTTTCCTCTACAAGCCTTAATCTTAGCACCTGTAAAATGGGTCTAATTATCCTTGTCCTACGCAAGGACTTAATGGAGATGATAACACGTGGCTAAGAGCAGTTACTGTGTAGATGGCCCCTGTATTAGTCTTCTCCAAGACCTTGGCCTAGGCATAGAGGGCACCTCGGAGCCCAGAGGACCTCCTGACTGAGCTGGGCTCCAAGAACAACACTTGACCCCCAAGGGCCTTTCTTTCCCAGCTCCACTTTGAAGGCTGGAGTCACAGCTATGACTTCTGGATTGATGCTGACCACCCGGACATCCACCCCGCCGGCTGGTGCTCCAAAACAGGACATCCCCTGGAGCCTCCTCTCCGTGTGTACTCTCAGGACACTGCTCTTTCCTTTTCGACTAATCTCTGACAACCCTCCCAGGGCTCCAGTGCCCACAGTGAGCCTGGGATGCCTATCCCCCTGCTCCGCCCCCAGGACTTCCTGCTACACTAAACCAAGGCATGCCCACAGGTCCCAGTAAAGTATACAAAAGCCAAACCTTCCTTCCCCCTTGATAGCTGATACCCAATGGCAGGACTGGGCACAGCTTGGCTTAGGGCCTGGTCTCCAAGGAACTAGTCCCAAGCGCTGACCCCCCCCTCCCCCCCTGGAAACTGTCCCTTCTCTGTCCTGTTCCCCTATCTCCAAGACTCCATGCTGACTTCTCTTTCGCCCCTGTAGGACCCAGAGAATCCAGCTCTGTCTCACCTGGGGGCTGCCCCCCTCTCAGCCACAGGAGCCCGCCCCACACAAAGCCCTCCAAATACAGCTTTCATCAGCGGTAAGTAAAGTAACAGCTGAGGCCCAGAGTTAAGCAGGTGTGGTTCAGGCAGAGTCTTTTACAGCTGTTGAGTGAGACCCATCAGCATTCCCCAGGACCTAAACAGGGCCTAGGTCAGGGAGGGCTCTGTAGAGACAAGCAGGTCCACCCAACCGAAAGCCTTCATCTCCCCAGGAAGTGCCCCACTCCTGGCTGTGACGGCTCCGGCCATGTCACAGGCAAGTTCACAGCTCACCATTGCCTCTCTGGCTGCCCGCTGGCCGAGAGGAACCAGAGCCGGCTGAAAGCAGAGCTGTCCGACTCGGAGACCGCAGCCAGGAAGAAGAACCTGCCTAATTTGTCCCCAAGGAAGAAGCCCCGCCATCAAGGCCGGTGCGGAGGCCAGGGAGTCAGGTCCTGGGCTTCACGGGTGTGGGGCCTCGTGTCCTCTTGGGCCAGCCACTGATCCTCTGCTGCGGCCCTGGTCCCTCTCTCTCCAGGATTGGACGCCCTCCAAAGTATCACAAGAGTCCACAAGAAGATTTCCAAGGTGAGTGCAGGTCCCCTTGCACGGTCCTCAAGTGGGCACACTGAGTGCCCTGTGATGGATGGGATCAGACACCAGGGCACCAGGGCGAGAGCAGTCAGAAAGGAAGCTGCTGCTTGAGAACCTTTGGTAGGACGAGCACAGGATGAGGCCTTGAGTGGCCGTGGCTTCTGGGCTTCTGGTCCTAAGAGCTTGCTAGGAGTCTGTGGAAAAGAGGGGCGGGGGCTAGATTTCCACAAGGTGGAGCAATGGCCCTGCTCTGTTCTTCTGTGATTCTAGACTTCCTCAGGAGACCATGGCTGTCAGTTGTGTGTCCTTGAGCAAGTCACTTTCCTCACTTGAAAACATGGATAAAATCCACCTTTTGAGAGTCAATGGCTGAAGTGATGATGGTAGCCAGGCACTGTGGCGAGCGCTTGACAATTGCCCTCTCTAGCTCACCAGCCTCCTGCACTGTATCTAACTAAGGAGGAATGGGAGGTTCAGAGGCGAAATCATTTGCTCAGGGTCATTCACCTTGTGAGCGGTTGAGCTGGAATTCAAACTTGGACCTGATTTCTGCCACAAGGCTGTTGTTCCAATTTCTAAAGGTCTTATAATAAAAAACTCAGAGCCAGATATTGGTAAATGCTGAAAGATCAGAGAGACAAAGCAAGCCACCGCCACATCTCACCTCGCCAACTCCTCAGTCTGAAAAGGCCTCGGCCAATAGTCCTCTAGCCGCATGAGCTTCCTCTGCGAAAAGGCTTCAGCCAAAAAAGCTTCTAACTGAAAGAGACACTTCTGCTGAAAAGCCTTTAGTTCCTGTCTCCTCATGCCTCATATACCTTTCTCTGTCCAGCCATCACTTCCTGGGATTAAAGGCATGTGTGCTTCCCAGTACTGGTATTAAAGGTGTGTGCCACCACTGCCTGGCTCTGTTTTCTCTCCTAGACTGAGTCAATCTCGTATAGTCCAGGGTGGCTTTGAACTCACAGAGATCCAAGTGGATCTCTGCCTCCCGAGTGCTAGGATTAAAGGTGTGTGCCACCACTGCCTGGCCTCTATGTTTAATCTAGTGGCTTGTTCTGTCCTCTGATCTTCAGGCAAATTTATTTGGGTACACAGAATGTCACCACACGTGGCTTTAGGCTTAAAGCACTACACCCTAATGCCATGTCCATACCCATTTCCTTGGATTCATTTGCATGGATTTCCATAACAAAATGCCACAGACTGGGTGGCCTGAAGAGCAGGCATTCATTTCTCACAGTTCTGGAGGTGCAGGCAAGGTGTCTGGATTGGTATCTTCTCGGGCCTTTCTCCCTGGCTCACAGACCACTGTTTGCTTGCACCCTTGCTGGTCTGTCTTGTGTGAGCATCCCTGGTGTCTTACACCAGATTCCCTGAGCCTGGTGTCCTCAGTCAGATGCTGATAATAACAAGAGCTCACTGCATGGTGTGTCTGGGTAAAGTGTTCAGCACAAGTGCACACCAGTTGGAAGCTCATGCCTGGAAGACTCTCTCTGGCTTCTCTCATTACTGTTTCCTCCTGATGGAAACAGAAGGCAGTTCTTGTAGCCTCAGTCCTGAATGGCAAGCATCTTGGCTGACATCTGGGTCCTCCTAGGAGGCTATCTCAGGGACAGGCTGTTGCAGGCCCCTCTTCTGTCTACCATGGTGCATTGGTCAGCTCCTCTATCCACCAGAGGGCACCTTCTGACCAAATGTTGGAGAGAGAGAGAGAGAGAGAGAGAGAGAGAGAGAGAGAGAGAGAGAGAGAGAGAGAGAGAGGTGCCGTGGTGTACACGTGGAGGTCAGAGGACAACTTTGTAGGGTCAGTTCTCTCTTCCTACCTTTATATGGATTTGGGAATGTAATTCAAGTTCTCAGGCTTGCACGGCCAATACCTTAAGTACCTTTACCTACTAAGCCATCTCTCCAGCCTAGAAGTCAGTCTTCCCAGGGGTTGCAGCTATGTCCCAAAGAAGAGGAAAAGGGCTCAGGCCTCATCCAGGCCCCCTGAGGCACCTCAGGGACAGCTCAGGCCTCTCATCTCCATAGAGGGCTCTCTGCTGTACCAGCAAGATTTTACCCAAGAAGGGACACTGGCTCTGGCTGACCCTTCTAGAGGAGACTCCTCACACATCTGTGGCAGATCTCAGTGTAGGTCTAGATGTGCATGTGACCGTTCCATCAGGGAACACCACCCGGCCCTTGGCTTTGCTCATTGCCCAGATCCCACAAGGGTCACCTCTTTGGAAGAACCTTCTAACTGTGTGGATAGATGGTTAAATAAAATGTTGTGACTATGCACAAGAGTCTGGCTCTGCTCTGAGGAGTAAGATAGGACCTGGGGTATCAAAAATGGGTTTGCAAGGATGAGAACCTAAAGTATGGCCAGGTAGGGGAGGCACAGCCACTGGGTTACAGCCGGAGCTGGTCAGCAGTCAAAAGGAACAGCCCCTAGGTGATGCTTAGGTGAACAATGCACAGGCATGAGGTGAGATGCAGAGGCTGCAGCGGAGTGATGGTGGGACTGTAGTAGAATCCCAGAGGCCCGGGGTGGAGATACGAGGAGCTGAAGAAGCCACGAAGCTGAGGCTTAGGGAGTGAGATGGGGCAGGATGGTCCGTAGCAAGCCGGGGCTGCCACAGAGAGGATGGCACTGGAAGTGCTGCATTCTGCATCCAGAAAGTGCTGAAAAAGAGCGATTAGCCTGAACTATGGACCGAGGCAGAGTAGGCCCCCAGGAGAGTGGCCAAGCTGCCTGAGGCCCCCGGGCCCACTGCAGAAGATGGGGCCAGGTTGTCAGCAGCTGAATTGAGTAAAGTCCAAGGGATGAATGCCAGGCCTGCTAAAGAGGAAGCCAAGCAGAGTGGCGTCAGTCACCTGACCCATGGAACCAGGAATTCCTGAGCAGATCAGAAAGCAAAGTGATAGGCAGCCCATGGCTGGAGATCTGATAAGAACTCATTTTCTGGGCCCAGAAACACCCTAGTTGAAGAGAGTTGGTCAGAGTCCAAAAGAACTTCATGTGGGACACAGAACTCATCATCAATGTCAGGGATGAACTTTTTTTAACTTTAGGGCCTGTTTCATGCCAGCAGCTCCAAGAGAGCATGAGGCCCAGAGTGCTGGGGGTGGCTCCAGACAATGCTGGAGTCTGTGAGCAAGCAACCCGTTAGACCAGCAGCATGCCAGGTCACCCGAGTGACCCCATCATGTTCTGCTTCTGCTTTCTAGCCCTTCCTCCCAGTGTAGTGCACCAGTCCCTCTTCATGTCCACCTTGTCAACCCAACCTGACCGCTCATTCTCCATGTGCTGGGAGCAGCATTGCAAGCTCTTGCCAGGAGTGGCGGGCATCTCGGCCTCCACGGTCTCCAAGTGGACCATTGAAGAGGTACGGAGTTCTTCCTTAGCCTCCTCCCCTTCTTCTTCCTGCCCTCAGACTCCCTCTAAACCACACCCGCACAGGGGGCTAAGGCCAGGGCCACCTCAGATGGAGCCTCATACCACTCCTAACAGCCTCCAACCTTGTGTTCATCCCTCCTATCCACCGTCCCTGTAGCTGCACAGCTAGGCTGACCAAAGCAGGCCTCTTGTGGTGGATAGAGAGGGTGTGTCCTGTAAGTCAAGCTGGGAATCTAGCAGGACAGGCGTGCTTTAAGGAACAGGGGACCGTCCCTCGGGTACCACCATACAAAGACATGAGGATTTCCTAAGGCTGATAAGAGAGAAACTCCTGGCACGGTCCATGTAGTACCGAGACCATGTATGTAGACTCACCCTTCCCCTAGATCCCGTCCCCTGATCAACATATCTCCTTTGATTCCCAAGGTCTTTGGCTTCGTTCAGACCTTGACGGGCTCCGAGGACCAAGCTCGCCTCTTCAAAGATGAGGTAAGGTACAAGGGCAGAGCGACAGAGACAAAGTCACTGCCATTGAGATGACAGGAAGCCATTACCCCCACCAGCATTACCTGAGCCCAAGAGGGACCTCTGATGCCTTCTAAGGCAAGACCAATCATAGTCACCCATGTCCATGGGAGAAATCTTGTAGGGACTGTGGCCTGGCTTGGGGATACTATGTTCAGATCCCCTTTGGGAAGGAAAATGTATCCTGAAGAAGGAATCCGTTTGCTCTTGTGCTCTCTGCCCAGGGCTGTTTGAGTTGAAGCATTTCACAGTACTGGGGAGCGGACACAGCTTCAGCCAGGCTGAGCAGGTATTCCACTACTGAGCTACATCCCTGCATACCACTGAGCCCAAAGCAGATAGTGGGGGCATAGGTGTAGGTATTTGCTGCAGAGATCCTAACACACTGAAGTCAACACCCAAGCGCTTAGGAAAGACATGAAGCTGTGAGTTATAGGAAGAGGAATCTTGTATAATATTAGAGGGACCAGCCTTAATATTAATACTTCCCAGGGGCTCGGGAGAGAAACTACGAACAGCGAGGACTATTTTTGGGAAATAAAATCTCAGCACACCGAGCTCTATAGTCCACTTGCTTTAATTCCTCTGGCATAACATCCTATTTACACAGCTTCAGTTCTGTTCTCGTGCCTAGCTCCTTTCTTGCCTGATTTCTCTATGTATTTATTTACTGCTCCCTCTAAGTTCTATCTTAATTCTCTCGTCCTAACGCTGCCTCATCTAAGTCCTTCTCATCTTGTTCTTACCCAGCTAGTACTTCCCCATCTGACTCTTCCTCATCTTCCATCTCGTCCACATGTACTCTCTGGTCAAAATCCTCCTTATCCCTCTCCTTTCTCCATCTCTCTGTCCTCCCCAAGTCTCTCAGGAGTCCAGTTATAAACCCAAGCAATAGCAATCCCCTGGTCGAGCAAGGTCACCAGGCTTGAGTTCTCTGGGGTCAATAAAGGTAGATAAGAATTTTCCTCAGGCAGTGACTACCAGGCTTCCAGGGTCAAACGGAGGGGTGATAAGAATCACATAGAGGGGCAGTAATTGTTAATTATCATTTGCAACCCCAAAGGGAAGTGACTAATGAATTAACTAAAGGCTAAATTCAGGTAATATCTAAGAAGAGGGATCTTATATGCTCAACTATAATCTTAAATGTGATTGGTAGAAAATGTTAAGAATCTGTAAGTTGCTAGGTCAATGGGAGAAAATAAAACGGCCTTCTTTTTACCTGTGGCTCCTATCTGTCCAAGCTATCTGCCATTTTTTCTGCAGGGTGGAAGAAGGTGTTCTTGGTTGCTAGGCAACCTGTGTACAGCTAGATGCCTTTGGTGATAGTTAAAGGGAGATCTGGAACTAGAGGAAAGATTTGGGAAAGGCAGTAGTTAAGCTTAATTGGCACATCCGCCAGGCCTTCTCAAACAGGTAGTCTGGATGCTTAAGTCTGTTCTTAGAGAGTACAGAGGTATCTCTGATAAGGTACTTTCCTCCGTCTGGGGATGGTCCTGGCCGGATGCTGCCAATGATGATAATTACAGGGAGGCTTGAACTGGGGTTCTGGCCGTGCATAGCTGTCAGCGCAGGTTATCTAAATATTCCTTGAGTAGAGGGGAAATGGTGCCCAATAAATGATGGAAAAGCTACAACAGCACACAAGAAACTCATAGCAGGAAACAACTGATAATCAAAAGCCAAATATCACCAAGGCTCCTTGAGCCTCAGCTTGACCTCTGAAAGGCCCTTGGCTTCTTCCAGGTATTAGCTTTGTCGTAATCAGCTGAAATCCTACTTTGTATATTTTTGCGGCTTGCGGCAGAAAGACATGAAGCTGTGAGTTATAGGGAGGAGAATGCCGGGTTTGAAGGCTGGACTCCTAGCTCTCCCGATTTGAGCAGCTCATCTCTGAGCATGCATCCTACTGTTGTTAGGATGGAGGTAGAGCAAGTACGCTCAGGGCTGCCTTGCAGGTCAGTGTGAACTTTGGAAATAAGGAGTGAGTCTTCACTACAGTACAGCTACATGATCATCTCACTGGCATGTGTGTACATCTGTCTAGCAACATTATAGAGTCATATAGAAATCCCACCACTATACCCCAAGCCCCATATGGGGGAGACCTCTATAAATGGTAGTCTGACCTTTTGTGCACAGTTGCACTTAAATAAAGAACTTTATTCATGTCTCTCTTAATTTGTAGAGTTTGAAACTGGAAGGAGCCCTTGCATGTGTTTAAGTCTTCCTTCCAAAACAATAAAATCATTCCCCTGCACCAGCACAGCGTGGTCTCAGCTGCCTAAAGCTGTTCCCCATAAAACAAAAGGATTTCTTTAGACCCAGCGCAGTCCACCTCTTCTGGTCTGGGTGCTGGTCTTGCCCGCTATGTTGCTGATCTTATTTGTGCTTCTTTGGGTGTCCAGCTGGACTCCAGTTTCTAGAACCTTCTGACCAGCATGGAGCAAATGCACCTACCTATCTCCTGCTCCCTGGGTGGCTTATTGTTTTAACTTTTGTTTGTTTGGGGTTTGGTTTGGTTTGGTTTTGGTGCTGAGGACTGTGTACAGGTCTTCTTGCATGCTAAGGCTGTTCTTTGCCGCTGCTCGGTAACTATGCCTTCTGCCCCACCCTCTCCAGATGAACTGACTGACATGAACATCTAACACCACACGCTTTCTGAATTGTGTGTACTTGAGTCCACCTCCATACAGCCTCCTTCCTCCATTTTCTTCATCTCACTCCCTCCTCACGACTAACTCTTCTCCTCCTTGACTGGAATGTGCACTTAGCAGCCGGTCACACACTTACTTTGTCTGGCTTGAGATGAGGTCGTTTGAGTTAAATTACAAGCACCATCATGTTTCACCCCTGAGTACTGGGACTCGTGACTTTTTATACAGTGTTGTTATTGCGCCAGCAATCAGTGGTAGCTCCTCAGGTCATCCACACCCTGCCCGTATCTGCATTTCCTGTTACCTCAGAGCATTTTTAAAAATCCTTCTGGAGCCAAGTGAGGCCCACATAAATTATTTCAGGTGTTATATAGCCCTTAAATATCTTCCATTCTAGGATAGTACCCTTTTTTTTTCTTCCTTTTCATTTTATTTTTTCTTGTGACATTTTAAAAGTCTAGAAGTCAGGACTAGCAAGTTGTCTAAGTGGGTGAAAGTGCTTGACACCAGGCCTAGAGACCTCAGTTTGAGCCCCGGGACTCACATGATGGAAGGAGAGAGCTGACTCCCAAAAATTGTTCTCTGGCTCCCACATGCATGTAGGGACATACACACATCCACATGCACACCCACACCCATACATACACAAAATAAATGATTGTAATAGGAAAAAATTTAAACTAGAAATCAGATCCAAAGGCTTCGTTAGATTCAAGTGTTCTCTATCTCTCTGCTTTGGGGGCAGGAATAGGTCGGAGGTAGCAGTGCACCCCACGCCGTAGCCCTCAAAGTGCGGTGTCTGCCCTGCTTGCCATCAGTAGCACTCAGATGACTGGTGGGGTCCCACAGGGCTGTGATCGGGTTTCTCTTGTCTTTGTTTGCTTTGTTTTGACTTTAGGCATTTCACAAATGCTAGATCACATGTGTAGATATGGAGGCTGTTAGCCAGGTAGCAAAATGAGTCCAGGCAGCATTTTTGAAGCGGATGACTCATGGATGAAACAGCTTCGACCACAAGCCTGCCTGGTTTCCTGTGCAGCCTCCCTGGGCCCTGTGCTTAAAAGAACCTGGCGCTGGGCTTTGTGCTCAGCTGTCACTAAGTTCCTAATAACTTCCAAACAAGGAGCTCCACGTTTTTTCTAAGTACGAAGCCCCACAACTGTATAGCGGCAGCTGGTTTCTCGAAGCTACTGTCTATAAGGGCTTCAGAGAGGATTTTCCAGTATAGATACTGACACAGCACAGTCAGCAGAAAGAGAAAGGGAAACTCTGTGTGTCTGACAGGGGAGCCAGGCTATCCTGCTTTCCTTCTCCATCCCCATGGCTGTCTTCCTTTTCTCCTTTTTCCCTCCCTTGTCCTTTCTCTTTGCCCCGCCCCCTCCTTCCTTTTCCACCTGCCACATGCCCCTTCTCCCCTCCCCATACCCACCTTTCCCCCCTGCCCACCCTTTCCTCCTCCTCCGATTTCCTCCTCCCTCTCCCGCCCCCTCAGATGATTGACGGCGAGGCCTTCCTTTTGCTGACACAGGCGGACATTGTGAAGATCATGAGTGTCAAGCTGGGCCCAGCCTTGAAGATCTATAACGCCATTCTCATGTTCAAAAACACTGACGACACCTTTAAGTGACTGGCCAGGTGGGCCCTCCTCCCACCCTGGCCGGGCTCCCTCCTCAGACGGTGCTCCCCACCCCTGTCCTCTCGGTCTGACTAGGCCTGGCCCTTCCCAGAAGGTGTTTGGGAGCAGAGGAGCCTGGGCAAGGGAGTCTAGGCCCTCAGTCCTGGAGTCCATTTGTCTCCGGTTTGCCCCAGTGAGGGTGTGACGGAACTGAGGCCTGATGACAGAAAGGAATGCAGGCATCCTGGCGAGGACAGCCTGCGTCTTCAACCACCTTGGTTCTTAGGAGTTAGGAGGAGCTGGGTCCAGTAGGCATCCTCTGCTCAGACCTGGGTCCTTTGGGGCATCTCTTTGTGCTTTCTTCTCGGCCCCTCTCCTCCTACGAAGAAGTGACCATGACTTTGGCATACATATTTACACATAAAAGGTGCCTCCTCCCTTTCTGCTGTTGGCTGTGCACCCTTCCTCTGCTGCCCGGTTCTTGGGCAGCCCCCGTCATGGTCCAGCCAGACCCCATGGCTCTTCTCCTATAGATGTGTAAGTCTCGGAAATAGGAGCGCTTCCCACTGGGAGCCTCTGGCTGTCTTTCCCCTTTTACCTCTAGGCAGAGAGCCAGAGCTAAGGCACCTTCCCGACCACCACTCAGCAGTGGAGCAGCCAGTTCCGGGGCTTAGTTCCAGCAGAGGGAGCAGAGAGTTAGAGTTTATGTTAAAACAAATGGAGCCCAGGTTCTCTGATGCTGCCTACACACCAGCAGATACAGTCTGCTGGGTGTCGGGAAGATGCAGTCTGGGCTGATAGGCAGTCGGACTAGGATGTCAGGCACACTGCAGTCTTTGGCCTGAGGGGTAGCTCCAGACAGCATGGTGGCAGCAGCATCCTAGCTGTGTCTGTGGCTCTCAGCCAAGATATTACACATGCCAGTCCAGCCTCCTGCCCGGAGAGTGTAGCACTGTGTAGCACACAACCCCTGTGACATCACATTCACCCTGTCCCTTAAACATTTCTCATTTTGCCCTGGAGTCTAACAAAGACCACCTACAGCAGAGAGTTGGAAGGGTTCCTCTCCTGTCTTTGAACTCTCTGGTCTCTTATGCCCTTCTTGCCACTCTCCCCAACTGTCTCTCACTGCCAACTGGGTCCCTGCTGGGCCTCTGGGACTTGGACCTTTCTGTCCAAGTGGAAGTTCAGTCTCTACTCAATTACTGCCAAACACGCCTCCCAGCCAAAGTGGGGAGCACCAGAGCCCAGCAGGAGCCACTCTGCCCATACGTGGAAGCCAGTGCCAAGCTTCATCTGGTGCTGAGGTGGGCCTGCAGGCTGAAGAGCAGGGTCATCTCCCAGTCCAGTACACTTGTAAGTCATGTGGTGTATGTGTGTGAGTATGTGTGTGTGTACGTACATGTTGGTCACTCAGCAGTTTCTGTCAGGTGCAGGTATGAGGTACAGTGTTGGGAATATTAAGGGCTATTGTTAAGCTATGAAGCTTTATTATTTCCTCAGAAGTGAGAAATCAAAAGTTCTGTTGATTTCCTGTTTCAGCCCTTTGGGGACCTCCCCTCCCTAGTCCAGACAGCTTCTGGGAGATAGCCATTTAACATCCAGCTGGGGTGGACAGAGCCTCAGGTTACCTTTCCCTTTCAGCCCTCAAGGGTAACTCTGAGCAGAACCTTTCTGGGATGACACCCGGCAAGAGCAGCCAAGGGGGAGGGAGGGTTAGGTTGACAGATGTGACATCATTGCCCCTTTGCTGGGAGTCTCTGCTATCTCAGCTGTCTGGGTTGCTGTGGAACCTGCCACCTTCTGGTCTTCAGTCCGTGGTGTCGCTGACCAGTCTGAGAAGGCAGCACATGTTCTGTGTTCCTGGCTGGTGCTGTGAGACCACACAGCTCCCAAGGAGGGGGGCAGCAGCCTTTGCCATGCAGCTCTGCCTGTGGGAAAGGCCAGATGGACTAACGGCCTTGGAGAAGAGGACTCGCAGGCCTCCCGACTCTGAGGCCTCAGCTCTTCTGCACTAATGTCAGACTCTTTGGAAAGAAAGCAAATCCTAAAGAAATCAAAAGAAATCTGCCTTCTGACCATCCCACTACCCGCTGGGTCCCCAGATGAGACTGTTGCACCTTGACCCGGGAGCACAGGAGGAGAGGGAGTGGGTGGCTGTTTCTGGCACCCTGTGTAACATGAACCACTTACACTTTGTCCCCAGCAGGCTTGTCCAGCCTCGGCCCAGCCCTGGCCTGAGACAGGGATGAACTCTCTGTTTAATTTCTAAGACAGAGAGAATGGTTCCAGAGTTTGAAAATGAAGCCTGTTTCTACCTTCGTTTACATGCACTGTGATGGGGTTACATTTTTGTTCTTGGTGTGTGTGTGTGTGTGGTTGTGTGTGTGTGTGTGTGTGTGTGTGTCTATGTGTGTCTGTGTCTGTGCGCGCGTACATTCTTTTTTTTTTTTTTTTTTTTTGGTTTTTCGAGACAGGGTTTCTCTGTGTAGCTTTGCGCCTTTCCTGGGACTCACTTGGTAGCCCAGGCTGGCCTCGAACTCACAGAGATCTGCCTGGCTCTGCCTCCCGAGTGCTGGGATTAAAGGCGTGCGCCACCACCGCCCGGCTGCGCGCGTACATTCTTAAAGAAAATCCTCTGGTTTAAACTAAAGTGACTCTTGAGGGAGGAAACATTACAAAGAAAATGCAGTATGATTTGTCTGTGTATTGTAACAACACAAATAAATTCAAATCATTGAACAGTCTGTAGCCAGAGTCTGTGTCTCTTTTTGTGGTGAAATGCCCAGAACACACAGGCGAACATCAGTGCTGCAATGTCTGAGGAGCCCAATTCTTCCCTCTGCTGCTAGGTAGAGGTCCTAGAGCAGTGGTTCTCAACCTGTGTATCGCAACCCCCTTCGTGATTCAAAAGACCCTTTCACAGGGGTTGCCTATGACAATCAGAAAACACAGATATTTACATTGCGATTCATAACTAAGTAGAAAATTATAGTTATGAAGTAGCAATGAAAATAATTTTATGATTGGGAGTTACCACAATATGAGGAACTGTATTAAAGGGTCACAGCATTAGAATGGTTAAGAACCACTGTCCTAAAGAATCTGAATTTTGCCAGGCAGTGGTGGCACACGCCTTTAATTCCAGCACTTGGGAGGCAGAGCCAAGTGGATCTCTGTGAGTTCAAGGCTAGCCTGGTCTACAGATCGAGATCCAGGACAGGCACCAAAACTACCCAGAGAAACCCTGTCACGAAAAACCAAAAAAAAAAAAAGAGAGAATCTGAATTTTATACTTTAATAGATCCATTTTATAAAAATAAAAATGTATTGAAAGGAGAAAGCCAAATGGAGAACACTGTTGAAGGGATTCCATGCTTAGAAACACCTGCCTAGGAAAGTGTCCTCAGAGTCAGCCACCAAGGTGTACAGAGGTTGTGGTAAAAGTAGGCCAGACTGTATCTCAGGCTGACAGGGGAACTTGGCAGGATCATCCACATGGCATTGGTTTTGCAAGCGTAAGAGATGTAAGAGTGAGCCAGGTGGCAGAGGCACACGCCTTTAATCCCAGCACTCAGGAGACAGAGCCAGGTGGATCTCGGTGAGTTCGAGGCCAGCCTGGTCTATAGATCGAGATCCAGGACAGGCACCAAAACTACATAAAGAAACCCTGTCTCCAAACAAAACAAAACAGAGAGAGAGAGAGAGAGAGAGAGAGAGAGAGAGAGAGAGAGAGAGAGAGAGAGGTAGGGTCATGAAAGCTTGCTCCAAGATTCCTGAAAGCTACTGAGGCTGGGCAAAGTGCTGTAGGGCAGGTTCTTTGAAAGGAGGGCCTGATCACCATTATATGAATCTAAAAGTGTGGACCCCAAATTACAATGAAGACACCAGGATTTTTGAGGGCTGTGGGGTGTCCACCAAGGAAAGCTGCAGGTATGAAGTAGAACTAGGCTAAGAGAGAGTTTATCTGTGTTGCAGGCAGCAGAGCAGGAGAGGCCGGGGTACTGAAGGTTATAAGAGCCCTGATGATTCCAAGAGCTCCAGATTCCAGATATGGAGCTATGGGATTTGATGTTAGCTGAGGGCAGAGCTGTTCAGTAGAATGCTTGTCTAGCACACAGGAAGCCCAAGATTGATCCCCAACACCACATGAAGCTGGTCTGTGGGTGTCCCCTTGCAATTCCAGCACTGGGGAGATGGAGACAAGAAGATGAGAAGCTGAAGGCCATTTTGCTACATGGTGAGTTTGAGGCTAGTCTGAGATACATGAGATGCTAGCTCTAAGAAGAAGAAAGAGCCACTCCGTGGTGGCGCACGCCTTTAATCCTAGTATTCGAGAGGCAGAGGCAGGCAGATCTCTGTGAGTTCAAGGCTAGCCTGGTCTACAAAGCAAGTTCCAGGATAGTCAGAGCTGTTGCACGGAGAAACCTTGTCTCAAAAACAAACAAAGGAAAGAAAAAAAAAGATCAGATAACCGTTTAATGACTATACACCTGCTTGTCTTAAAAGTATAATCAACTGGGGCTGGAGAGATGGCTCAGTGGTTAAGAATACTGACTGCTCTTGCAGAAGACCCAGATTTAATTCCCAGCACCCACATGGCAACTCACAACTGTAACTCCAGTTCTAGGGGATCTGACAGCCTTTTCTGGCCCTTCAGTCACCAGGCATGCACACATCGCACAGATATACGTGCAAGGAAAACACATAAAATCACTGTTAGGCAGAGAAAAGTATGTATTCAATAAATATCTGTTGAATAAATAAATCTCCACTTTTAAAAAAAAAGTATAAACCACAGGGCTGGAGAGATGATTCAGTCAATAAAATGCCTACCTAGCAAGCTGAAGATCTAAGTTCAAGTTCCTGAAAGTTTACTGGCCAGTTCATCTAGCCTGCTTGATGAGGCCTGAGGCCTCAGGACTAACACAGGTTTTGGTTTTTGTTTTTTTTCCTCTGACTACATGTGTACAGTTCACTCACCCATCCACAAACAAATAAGCATATGCATACCTAATTTCTTTAATTAAAAAATGTAAATAAGAACTCCCAGGGCCTGATAGCTTGACATTTTATATAAATGGTCAAGGCCAGAGAATTCAGTGGCTCCTCCAGTTTTAAAATTAGCATGAAGCTTTCTGGTGCAGAAATGTCAATCTGGAGGGCTCAACTCTACAGTTACCAGAGTGTGCATGTGGGTAGAAACATGATAGGAATGTCATGGGCTCATTGTAGTCATCTCTTCAAAATCTTTCATTCCTTTGCCCGACTGCCCTTCCAAACCACTTGACTAGGAGAATCCTAACTATGGAGCTGTCCAAGACTCAGCCTCCTCCTCTGGAGCAGGAACTTGCCAGACTGGACAGACAGACTGATGTCAAGGTAGACTGATGGCCTCAGGCATCTGTGAATTGAACTCCCATGGTTCTCTAAGGGTAGCTGGGCCTTAGGGAGCTTGGCTCCAGCTCTCCTTTACATGTTCCTCAAGCCTCCTATACCATTACCGCTTTCATCATCTCCTGTATGGCCTCACCATCTACATCCCAGGAAACAAAACTTGCACCTCCCTGCCACCTCATCTACGTGGTGTCTTTCACCCACATCTGTCCTCCTTTCCTGTCACAGTGGAAAAGTTGATTCTTCTTCCTGGAAGCCAATCCTTGACCAGCTAACTGCAATAAAAGAGACGTTGACACACAAGGAAAGCCTTTGGCACTTTAAAATGTAATTGCAGGAATAAAGTTTTAATACAAGGTTCAACAGTTAGAAGTGAGGACATCTCCTAGGAAGTAGAATACAGGGAGGGGGGTGTGGTGGCTGCAATCCTATAAACCTGTAATCAGGAGGCAGAGGCAGGAAGATTGCACAAATTCAAGGCTAGCCTGTCTCCAAACAGACAAAGACAATGAGATGAAAATTGGAAAAACATTTGAAAATCAGCAGACTAGTCAAACAGGGAATTATATTCTTAAAAAAATAAACTAAGGGCTGGAGAGATGGCTTAGTGGCTAAGACACAAAGGACCTGTGTTCATGTACACAGGCATCTGTAACTCTAGTTCCAGAGGAACCAACATTCTCTTCTGGCCTCCTCAAAGTACCAGATTTGCAGACATACATGCAAGCAAAACATCCATACAATAAAAAAAAAAACTATGATATGCTAGTCTCCAAATTGAGAGGTTCCACTGAGTGGCAGGACAGAGGAATAGTACCGGACTGCATTACTGTAAAACATCAGAGTAATGAAAATCAAGACTGGAAAGCTGTCATTGAGAACAAAACCAAGGAGCATGAATAATAACACTAGGTTTCTCTACAGCAATTGCTGAAAGAACACGGTGGAACAGTGTCGTAACTATTTGAAAGGAAAAAAGAGAGAACGGGGAATGTAGTTCAGAGGTAGAATATGTGCCTATCTACCATGTGTGAGGCCCCAGAACCAATTATCAGCAAGGAAAAAAAAATGGTCAAAGGAAAGAGACTTGTGTACTCAAGTTTGAGGTTGTCATTCAACCACGAAGGCAGAATATTTACAAATAGCCAACTCTTCAAACTTTCATTGTGCACCTGTCCATGGGGTGATGCACTCCATCAAACTTCAAAAGTAGCCAGCCATGGTGGCTCACACCTTTAATCTCAGCACTAGAGAGGCAGAGGCAGACCAATCTCTATGAATTCAAGGCCAGCATGATCTACACAAAAAGTTCCAGGCCTGCTGGATTTACCTGGTGAGACCCTATCTCAAATGCTGCCCCCTTCCCAAATAGAAGGAAAGAGAAAATAAAACTGTAAAGAGGAAGATCCCAGAAATCAAAGATGGTTCAATTAAGAAAATCTAGGTTTACCAGGCGTGATGATGCATGCCTTTAATCCTAGTACTTGGGAGGCAGATGGATCTCTGAATTGGAAACCAGCCTGGTCTATAAAGCAAGTTCCAGGACAACCAGGGCTACACAGAGAAACCCTATCTAAAAAAAACAAAAAACAAAAAAATCAAAAAGAAAAAAAAAAAAGATCTAGGTGACAGTACATTAATAAAATATGGGGGAAAATGTGATAGTCTCAAATGACACAAAAAGGCATTTGACAAACTTCAACATTCTTCCATGAGAAAAATGGAAGAAAACATGAAAGGAAACTTACACAATATGACAAAGGGTATCTGCACACAGTCCACAGCTACTCCGCTCTCGGTGGTGAAGAGAGGAACATTTGTGTCAAAGGTCAAGAACAAGACGAAGACTCCTGCATTCGCTGCTGCTGTTCTGCCTTTATTAGATGTTTCAGTCAGAGAAACTAGATAAGAAAAATAAAATAGAATAATCCAAGTTGGAAAGAAGTAAAATCGCATTAAAAATAATATCTTATTTCTAGAAAAGTCCCAAGTCAATAGGAACCCTACAAGCTGCCAGATCAAGCTAATTCATCAGAGTTGCAAGACAGAAGATTAACACACAAAAATCAGTTGCATTTTTATACACCTGTAATGAGCAATCCAAAAATGTGTCAGCTTCCCACTGCTGTACTAATTATCCAATAGCAAAGCGCAGGAGGAATATTTCTTTTAAAAGTCAGCAGCTCTTAATGCCACTGAACTGCACATTATAGACAGTTAAAATGCTAAATACCACCATAGATAGATAGATAGACAGACAGATAGAGTTTTAAATCCCCGGTTCCTAGGTATCCACTGCCACCGATGTAATAAGCCAATTAAGCCGAATTCATAAATCCTGGTTTAATGA